AAGAGGTCAGTACAGGTATTGCATGTTTTAAAAATTCCTGCAGCGCTCGGCCAGTGCAGCTCAGTGGTTGAGCATTGACCCATGCACCAAGAGGTCACTGGTTCGATTCTCAGTCAGGGCACATGCCCAGGTTGTGGGCCCAATCCCCAGAAGGGGGGCGTGCAGGAGGCAGCCAATTGATGTTCTCTCTCATCAATCTTTCTATCTCTTTCTCTCTCTCTTCCTCACTCTCTAAAAAAAAAATTCTTGCAGCACACCAGTGTGCTGCAGCTCGAGGCACACCCGTAGAAAATTGCTGACATAGCCCTGGCTAGTGTAGCTCGGTTGGTTGGGCATCAGCCCTCGGGCACTGAAAGGTCACCAGTTGGATTCCTGGTCAGGGCACATGACCAGGTTGTGGGTTCAATCCCCAGTGGGGGGCATGCAGGAGGCAGCCAATTGATGTTCCCACATCAATGTTTCTCTCTCTCCTTCTCCCTTTCTCTCTCTCTAGAAATCAATAAAAAAAAGTCTTAAAAAGAAAAGTAAGAGTTATTAAAAAACACAAGAAAATCACTGCCGTAGACTAATACAGACTGACGGTGGGTCTCCGGTCGGAACACCTTGCATCTCATGGCTGTTGTGCACCATTCTCGGCAGGTGAAGCTCAGGTGTGGCCCCTCGAGGGCTGGGCCTGAAGCATCCTTCTGCCGGCCTTGGATCTGCAGGGGAAACTAGGAATTTCACAGGGATGTGGGAACAGGTGTGTGCAACATTCCAAGTAGCAAAACATAGGGAAAGGAATGTCCAGCGACAGAAGACAGATGTACCAGCGGCGGGCAGCACACCCACCCTGGGGAGCAAGAAAGGTGACCGCTGGTGCCCTGTAGCCAGCCTGGGAAAGTGCTCGCACACGTTGCTGTGGGACCCGGGTTCAGGAAGGATGCGCCCAGGAGAAGGCTGCGCTCCCCGGCCTTGGGGAGCCCTGAGAACAAGGGGCACCCTTGTGTTTACTTTAATACTTCTCTGTGTTTCTTACAATGAAAATAGTGTCCCAATAAGCCAGAGCATGAGTTAAATGTTGGGAAAGAAAGAAAGACAGCAAGCCTCTAACCCAGAAGTCAGCAGAGGACGCTCACGGATAAGTCACAACGGCCAACACCAGCGGCGGCAGCGCCGTGAGCGGATGTTCAACCTCCGCGCTCTTCAGATGAACGTAGAAATGGTTTCTAGTTTTTCTCAAGGTTTTCTTTATTTTTCTAATGTCTTAGAATGAACAAAAACGATTTTCTTCATCTTCTGTCAAAGGAGTAAAGTGGGTCCCGAGGGAGGTGCCCAAATGCCGCGTTTTGCGCTATAACAAGAGTGGAGGCGGGAGGGACGGAGCACTCCGGGGCAAGCAGAGACCAAGCCACAGCAGTTTTCAAAAATACGTATCGGGGAAAAAAAATGCATCCGCCACGTGGGACACAGATAGGGGTTATGGTCACAGGTGGAAAGGCCGCGGGGTCCGGCGCACTGCCCTGGGTTGGCCTGGCTGATGCCTCGCAGTGGAGAGGCTGTGGGCAAGAGCCACTGGGCAGGACTTGGTGACCACTTGAGTTTGGGGGAGGAGAAAGGACTCAAAACCAGCTCAGGTTCAGAGACTGCCGACCCCCAGGAGAGAGGAGATTCCAAAGGGGAGACCTAGAATAGAAAGCAAAACAGACACACAAACATAAAAATGGGAGTGTGTCCAGAGACTCAGAACCTCGGGAGGTGTGGGGGACTTGGCTCTGTTGAGCAACCAAGCACACAGGACACTTCCAGACACTGCACACGAGCGAGATATACCCTGACATGTTTCACCTTACAAAACTAGAAGAAGAAAAAATCAAAAGCCAATTAGGCAGAAGGAAAAATATGATAAAATCAGAATAGAAATCAATGAAATAGAAAACAGAAAAACAATCAAGAAAAATCAATAAACCAAATATGATTCTTTGCAAAGGTCAGCAAAATTGATAAACCTCTAGGCTAATCAGGAAAAAACAAAGACAAAAATGACCCACGGTAGGACAGCGTGTAAGAGGAACGTTCGGCTCCTGTCTTTAGGTGATGATGGTTTCATGGGTGTAATACTCATCAAATAACCTTTGAGTCCAAGAAGGACTCAAAAGGGAAACTTACAAATTATACATTTTAATCTGTGTCGTTAGGCCTCAATAAAGTTGTTAAAACCACAAGAGCATTATAAGACCCCAGTAAAAGGCAAGGAAAAAAGTCAGAGAGAGGTATCAGAAGTGACACAAAAGTTGGAGTTCAAGGCTTGCCCAGAAGGGTCCCTGGTGACACCCAGACTTTTGGTTTGGCCCCTGAGGGGCAATGCCCTCCAGGAGAGAAGATCGATCGACCTCCCAAAGCCTGAGGCAGCCCAGCACCCAATCACCTGGCTGAGGCCAGGAGTGGGCCCACCCTCTTCCACTGGCAGAAGAAAAATAAGTCATAACACCTCCCCACTGATTGGTTTTGCTCAGTGGTTAGAGCTTGGGTTTGAGAACCACAGGGTCCCAGGTTTGATATCCTGGACCCCGGTGGCGGTAGTGTGGGAGGCAACCAATTCATGGATCTCTCTCATAGCGATATTTGATTCTTTTTCTTTCTCCCTCCCTCACTTCCACTCTATCTAAAAATCAATGAAAAAATATTGTTGGGTGAAAATTAATAACAACAACAACAAAAAGAAAAAGGACATACCGCCTCACCACGGTCACCATTCAGCCGAGATTCCCAGGTGTGCCAGGGTACAGGCACACGTAAAGCAAACCGAGAATAGACAGTAGACATAAATCCACGGGGCACCAGGTAGGGCCATTACTAGAAGGAACCTCTAACATGCGACAGGTGTGCTCCGGAATATAAATGAAAAACAGAATTTCATCAGGGAACTGAAACCTAAAGAAAAGGAATCATATGGAAAGTCCAGAACTGAAATATAAAATGACTGACATGGATACTTGAGAAGAGGGTTTGAAAGCTGATGACACGGGCGGCAGAGAAGACGAGTGAAACCGGGAGCAGCAGGTAGAACACACCCTGGTGGAAGCACGGAGGGAAAAAAGGAGAAAAAGCACAGAGGACGAGGCGTTGGGGATAGAGCAAACACCTAACACAGGTGCACTTGAAATTCCAGAGAGAGCGTAGTGGGAGAGGCCATGCAGAAGCCACATGTGAATTTAATGAACACAATAAGTAAAAGAAATCACCTAGGGACATCCTAGCTGAACTGCTGAAAATAAAGTTTTAAAAGCATCCAGGAAAAAAGAAATGGTACATTATCTTCAAGTGTAACAAACAGATACAAAGTACTTTGGGGATAGAAATGATGGAAGCAAGCCAGTGCAATGAGGTCCTTAAAGTGCTCAAGAAAGCGACCTGCCAGCTTCCGCTTCCATAATGGGACCTCAATGCCAGCCCCTCCTGCTTGTCCCCCTCCAGGTGCCCCAGCTGCTCCCCCTGGCGTCCTTACCTCAGACGCAGCTGGGAAGCTTGACCACTCCACACTTGGGATGCTGGTCAAGCTCCCCATACCGTCTCTCACTGTCCCCACCTCGGTGGCGCCTCTTGGCACTGTGATTGTCTGCCGCTCCCCCAGCCAGGGCCAAGAGGTCAGTCTCCCTCCTCTGGGCGCCCCCTCAGGCCCAGCAGGGACGACACCCCATTTCTCTCTCCCTGGAATGGAGAGCAGAAAAGCCTCTCTGCTTCCCAGAACCCCCCTGCAAGGAAGGTCTATGTCCAGCCCTGCATTAGGCCTGCATGGGTGCAGGCGGACTGCTATCTGAAAACCTCGTCATATGATGGGGATTTAAAAAAAATTTTTTTTCTTTATTGATTTTAAAAGAGAGATAGAAACACGAATGAAGTAGATAGACCAGTTGTTCTGCACGCTGTCTCCGGATGGGGAATCGAACCAGCACCCTTGTGGTACAAGGGCAGACGTTCAACCACTGAGCCAACCAGTCAGATACGGTTCTCCTCTAGAATGTACTTGACTACTGTGGAGTATCCGCTCCAGATGCCTTAGGACCAGCTCATCCAGTTATCTGACAATCTCATCACACGATGGAGATTAAATCGCCTCTACAGCTGAACCTTGGAGAGTTGTATTTACAACTTGATGTATTTACAACTTTGCGGTTTTCTGATTTAGTTTGAGCTCGTCAGCTCCTGCAGTTAAGATTCAGTCTTTTAAAAAAAAAAAAGCAGCCTGACACATTTCTTCTTAGGGTTTTTCCCAGGGACGTCATGGGTGTTGGGGCGACTGGGAATGGCACCCGCGGGTGGGGGGACCCCAAATGTGACTGTCACGGGTAACCACAGGTGGCGGGAGTCCCGTGGGGACAGACGGCAGGGGCGGGGCGCGCATGAGGATGCCAGAGCACGGCAGGCACAGGTTCCGGGGTCCGGGGAGCCGTGGGGCACTCGAGAAGCGCAGCGGCAGGGCCGGGCGGTCCCAGGCCGAGTCTCCACCCCCACCAGGCCCAGAGATCCGCCGCTCAAACCAGTGCGGGGCCCGCCCCCACAGCTCCGGTCCAGTCACCGGCGGCGCTCAGCACTAACAGCGCTCACCTAGTCAGGCCCCGCCCCCACTCCAACCCCGCCCCGGACCCCGCCCCCACAGCTCCCGGCCAGTCACAGGCCGCGTTCACACTCTCGGCCCCGCCCACAAGCCCCGCCCCTCATCCCGAAGCCGTCGCGCCGCGGGGGAGGCCTGATCGTTCGTGGTGTTGGGACTGTGGCCGCACCGGGGCTCGGAGGTCGCGGGTTCGAGTCGTCGCGTCTCCGCCTCGGCCCCGGTGACCGTCTCTGTCTCGCAGGCGCGGCCGTTACTGACGGTGCGGCGAATCTGCCGCTGCGAATCTGCGGGCGCGGCGGCGACCGCGGAAGAGGCCTCGCGAGAGTCTGGGCGCGGGCGCGGCGGCGAGGCGGGCGGTGCGGGCCGAGCGGCCGGAGCGGCGGGCCGGGCCCGCGGAGCCGCCGGCATGACGGGCCGCGTGTGCCGCGGCTGTGGCGGCACCGACATCGAGCTGGACGCGGCGCGCGGCGACGCCGTGTGCACTGGCTGCGGCTCGGTGCTCGAGGACAACATCATCGTGTCCGAAGTGCAGTTCGTGGAGAACAGCGGCGGCGGCTCGTCGGCGGTGGGCCAGTTCGTGTCGCTGGACGGTGGGTCCGGGGCCGGGGCGGCGCGGGCGGGCCCTCGGGGTCGTCACGGGGTTTCCACCCGCGGGCGACGTGCGGCGGCTGCGGGCCGGGGCTGCACGCGCGTCCGGCCTCCGCGGGCTGCGCTGTGAGCGGCGCACGTTTGGACGCGGGTCCCCGCCGCCCTCCCGCCCCCGGCCACCGCGGAGCCGCGCCGGGTCCCCGGTTGTGCCGCGCAGGGGCAGCGTCCAGGACCGGGGACCCGAGCGTTCACCACCTCGGGGGCGGGTCTGTCCCGCGGCCGGTGCCTCGGCGCTTCGCCCGGCAGGTGGCGCTGCCCGCGCTGGGTCCGGTGCGCGACCACCGCTGGAGGGGGACACTTGGGGCCATGGCCAGCGTGGGGTACGAATGGAGCTGCTGTGTGAACGGACGTTTCCCCTTCTCTGGGTGGTTCCCAGGGGTGAGGTCGCGGGGCAGGTGCCGGTTTAACTTCACTCGCACTGACCACTGGCTCCCCGGCCCCGCCAGCACCGAGTTCCCGCTTCAGTGTTGGGGGGCGGGGGGGACGCACATTTCCTTGGTGACGTTTAAAGGGCCTTCCGTGAGCTCAGTCCTCTGCTGGAGTGTGCCTGTCTGTGTGTTCCGGTCTTTGCTCCTTTTCTGTTTCGGTGGTTCGTTGTGTTGCTCTGAGTTCTGAGCGGTCTTTACATATTCTAGTTTAAAAAGTTTAGCATTTTGACTACAAGTTTAATATTTTCATGCAGTCTATTGGATGGATTTTTTTTTTTTTCTTTCATAGATGGTACTTTTTTTTTTTGGCACATCCTAGCCCCGTGCCACTGTGTTGGTTCTGATAAAAACTTTTGTTTTTCTATGTTTTGCCGTTAGATCTGGGACCGTTTTGAGTTTACTTTATGTTAGTTGTGGTGTGTGGGTCGAGGCTCATTTCTGTAGGTGGATGGCCAGTTTCAGCACCATGTGCTGTGGGGCTGCCCTTGCTGGACTTGCCTTTGCTCCTGGGCAGTGATCACTGGGCCACGCTTGTGGGCCTGTTGCTGGGCCCCCAGTTCTGTTCTCTTGGTCCCAGCGCCAGTCCTCTGTCCTTAGAACACTGCCTGGTCTCCTGCACATTTATAATAAGCCTTGAGATCAGCTGTCCTGAGGCCTCCAACTTTGCTTTTGCCCTCCTTAAGGTGCTTTTAGCTGTTGTGGGCCCTTTCCATTGAATTTTAGAATGGGGTTTTTATTGGAATTGCATTAAACCTCTTGATAAATTTGGGGTAATTTGATGTACTGTGCTGTGTCGTCCAGTCCTTGAACACAGTATGTCTGGTAGTTTTCAGCACAGAGCTCCTGTGCGTTCTTTAGATACAAACTCAGGTCCCAGCAGAACTACTGTAAATGTTATTTGAAAAGTTTTAATTTTAAGTTGGTCATTGCCAGTATATCAAAATATGGTTGATTTCTGACCATGCTAAACTGATTAGTTCTAGGTTTTTTTTATAGATTCCTTGGAATTTTCTATGTAGACAACTATGTTGTCCATAAATAAGAGCATGTTTTTCTTCCTTTTGTTTATCTTTATTGCCTTCAGCAGACTGCTTACCGTCTTCTCAATCTGGAAAGCTCTCTCCCCACTCAGCGTAATGTTTTTTTTTTTTTTCTTTATTGATTTTAGAGAGGAAGGGAGAGGGAGAGAGAGATAGAAACATCGATGAGAGAGAACATTGATTGGCCGTCTCCTGCATGCCCCCACTGGGGATTGGGCCCACAACCTGGGCATGTGCCTTGACCAGGAATCGAACTGGTGACCTTCTGGTGCATGGATCAACACTCAACCACTGAGCCACACCAGCCAGGCATAATGTTTTATTTTTTTATTATTGGTTGAGAGAGAGAAACATCGATTTGTTGTTCCACTTATTTATGTATTCATTAGTTGATTCTTTTTATTTTTTATTTTTTTTCCTTTATTGATTTTAGAGAGAGAGAGGAAGGGAGAAGGAGAGAAATAGAAACATCGATGATAGAGAACATTGATTGGCTGCCTCCTGCATGCCCCTCACTGGGGATCGAGCCCACAACCTGGGCATGTGTCCTGACTGGTACCGGTGACCTCTTGGTGCATGGGTCGACGCTCAGCCACTGACCACACCGGCTGGACCATTGGTTGATTCTCTTTTTTTATCCTCACTCCAGAACATTTTTACATTTATCTCTAGATAGAGTGGGAGGGAGAGAGGGAGGAAGAGAGAGTGAAACGTCAATGTGAGAGGCACATCAACTGGTTGTCACTCACACGACCCCAACCAGGGCTGGGGACAAACTGCAACCGAGGTTCGTGCCCTTAGTGGGAACCGAACCTAAGCCTCTCTGGTCCGCAGGCCGACACAAACCGCTGAGCCAAACCAGCCAGGGCCATTGGTTTATTCTTTTTTTATTATTATTTTTATTTTTTTATCCTCCATCGACGTGAAAGGAACACATCGAGTGGTTGCCACCTGCACGACCCAACCAGGGCTGGGGACAAACTGCAACTGAGGTACATGCCCTTAGCGGGAACCGAACCCCGGGCTTCTCTGGACCACAGGCCGATGCTCTTAACTGCTGAGCCAAACTGGCCAGGGCCCATTGGTTTATTCTTGTATGTGCCCTGACTCAGTATCGAACCCGCAACCTTGGCATATTGGAATGACACTCTAACCAACTGAGCTATCTGGGTACCTGTTCTCCCTCTCTTCCCCAAAATATGTTTCATTGATTTTTTAGAGATAGAAACATCATTGGGCTGCCTCCTGCACACCCCGTACTGGAGATCAAGCCTGTAACCCAGGCTTGTGCCCTGACTGGGAATGGGTCCATGCTCAACCACTGAGCCACACCAGCCAGGCTGGGGACCTGTTCTTTATCTGTAAAGTTGAGGACGTTCCTTTCTTCTCTTAGTTTGCTGAGAGTTTATCATGAATGGGTGTTCAATCTTGTCATGCTTTTTCTGTATCATCTGATATATTCATGTAGTTTTCCTCTTTCTGTGTCAGTGTGGCTGATGGGCATTCAAATCTGCCTTGCATTCCTGGGGTAAACACACTTGGTCAAGGTGTATCATTCCATGTATATGCTGCTGGATTACAGTTACTAATATTTTGTTGAGGATTTTTTTTTTTATTTTGTTCTTTATTGATTTTAGAGAGGAAGGAAGAGGGAGAGAGAGAGCAAAGCATCGATGAGAGAGAACATCGATTGGCTGCCTCCAGCACACCCCCCACGGGGATTGGGCCCACAACCTGGGCATATGCCCTCACCGGGAATCGAACCAGTGACCTCTTGGTACATGGGTCGATGCTCAACCACTGAGCCACACCGGCTGGGTTTGTTGAGGATTTTTATGATTATATTTATGTGGAATATTGCTCTTTAGTTTTCTTGTAATGTCTTTGTTTTTGATAGCAAGGTTATGTGCCTCATGGGATGAGTTGGGAGATGTTCTCTTCTCTTCTGTTTTCTGAAAGAGATTGTGTGGAATTTGTGTTAACTTTTCCTTAACTGTTTGGTACAATTCACAGTGTAGCTCTCAGCCTGTCAGAAGGTTTTTAACCACAGACTCTGTTTCTTTAATAGTTGTGGTTTGGATGCTCTGTCACCTGGGTAAGTTTGTGGTTTTGAGTTGTTGAATTTGCTCAGGTAGAATTGCTGGCACTGTTCCCTGTTGTCCTTCTGATGTCTGCAGGGTCTGTAGTGCTGTCCCTTTCTCCTCTCAGATGTTGGTATTCTTTGTGTTCTCTCTTTTCCCTTTGTCTCTTTTGCTAGACGTTTATTTATCAACTTTATGACACTTTTCAAAGAACTGGCTTTGGGTCTCATTGATGTTTCTCTTCTGTCCTCCGCCCGCACACGTCTTTGTGTTCTTCCTGGGTGACTGCCAGGGCGCCTTCCCTGGGGCTGTTGGAGCTGAGGCTCCAGCACGGTTTGTGGCTTTGTCACTAGACTTCGGTGCCCGTTGGGAAGAGAGTAACAACCATAGTGAGAAGGGCACTGTGCTGAGCACACCCCTTGACCTGATGCAGAGAGGAAGCTGGCGCAGAGGGGATGGACTCCCAGGGAGTCTTGGACGGAGAGAGGTGCTCCTGCCCATGCACAGCACAGTTGGTCCCATGGCCTGTGAGCACAGGCTTGGAGCTGGGCCACGTTTGTCGCTGTGGGGATGCCTCTCCAGAGTGGGCTGGCTCTGTCCTATGGGCTCTCCCTCAGGAGATTGTGGCAGGGGTCTTGAGTTCTTAGCCCCCAGGTTGGGCAGAGAGGGGAGGGATGTCATCTGCCCCGGAAACCCTTCTGTCCCCCAGGTAGGACTCTCCCAACCTGGTCCCCTCCCTTCCCCATCACAGCAGCGATGGCACCAGCCATCGACTTGGTTCCTGTCAGTCTTCCTTGGTCATCTGTGTGTGTCCAGCAGCCTTCTCAGCTCTTCCACACTCCAGCCCCATCTGCAAGCTGAGCTTCCCTCTGAGTTGCCCTTTTCTGGGTCCCATGGCCACTGTTTTTCTAAGCATTCCTGCTTATTGTTTGAGAACTGAGTGGGGACAATTAGCTCAGAAGTTTACTCCGAAATATGTAAATTAGACATCAGGGCCCAGGGGCCAGGGGCCCTGCCCCCACAAACTCCTGACTGGGCTCCTGGGTACCACCCTAGTCCTCCTGAGGCTGGGCTTTCTGGGTCCCCTGGGTTCCCTGGAAGATGTTTAGGGAGGACTGGATATACAAACAGCACCTCGCCGAGTGCTGGTGATAAGGGTGGTGCTGGGACACCCAGGCCGAGTCCTTCAGCTGCTGGACAGCTGGTGAGGGGTGGGACGGCTGAGGGAAAGGCTATGGGGCTGAGAGGGATGGTGCTGAAGACCGCAGTGCCCAGGGAGGCCAGAATGGCAAGGCCCGGTGGGGCTGGGCAGCTTGCCTCCGAGGGTGCTGAGAGAGGGTCCTGGGCAGGGGCACGCCCTGCGTGTGTCAGGGACTGCGGAGGCAGAGCAGGGCTTCCCAGCAGGGTGGGGGGGACGGGCTGTGTGTGACAGGCACTGCAGTGTGCTATGCAGTATCGAGCTGAGGGCCTTGGGACAGCAGTTCTTCCCCTGGGTGTTCCCTCTGGTTGGTGATGCACCTGGGGCAGAGGAGCTTCACTCAGCAACATGGCTCCTGCTTCCTCAGGGACCCTTCTTCCGGGGAGCCTGCCATGGTTTCCACAGCCACAGTATCTCTAAGTCCTAGAGGTCTCCCTGTTATGAGTCATGAAGTACTTTCACACGTTTGTGATGGATGACACCCCCAGGAACTGGATGAGAAAGGTTGCTGCCCCAGCCCTGCAGGGGGGTGCCTAGAGGTGGAGCCACTCTTGCTTGCTGGAGGTGATCCCTCTGCCATCACCACCTGGCATGTGCTCCACCCATAGGGGGCCCTCCTGGCACAGCTGGCCTGGTGGCTGGGGTCCGAGCAGGGGCCTGCTGTCCTTGAGTTGGAAGGTTCCGCATCTCTGCGCTGTGGTCTCTCCGGCCCTGTTGAGCTCCTAGCTGAAGGAACCGCTCTCAGGACATGCTGGTTGAAGTCTGTCTGGAGGCCCTCGGGCGAGAGGACTGGTTTGGGAGCCGGGTTGGCTGCTGTTTCCTCCTGCAGCCGCCCCGCAGGGTCCCCACCATCAGTTTTAATCCTGCAAGCAGGCTCCTCGGTGGCTGCATCGGGGAAGGTTCAGGCTGCTGTGCTGCTTAGCTCCTCACTCATCAGGGGCAAGAGGTCCACGTGCAGGCCACGGCCTCAGTGCCAGGACTCGCCTGGTCTTGTCGGGTGCCTTTGGGCGTGTTAGAGCATGTGCAAGCTCCGAGCTCCGGCTTCAGGACCCTCTCCGACCCTGCTGGGCCGCACAGCCTCACTTGAAGTAAAGTTGTTACAAAATTGTTTCAGTTTCTGCTTACTGGTGTTGGAGTGAAACGTTTTGGTGCTGTGTGTGGGTCTTTCTGGGGTGCTGAGGCCCCTTGGCCCTGCCTTTCTCTTCTAGTTTAGGGGTGTCGGTGTTCTTGGCTTTGTCCCCAGTGCTCAGAGTGGCCCAGTACTGGGTTCCCAGTGGAGTTGTGGGTCTCTCCCCTGCTGCCCACAAGGGGGCGGTCTTGGCCTGGCGGCACCAAAAACCTGTGCCTTCTGCCTGTCAGTTCCAGCTTGTTGTATTTTTGTCATAGGATCTTGTTATAGAAACTATTGAATGTTTCTGAAGTAGAGGAGATAGTGTGAAGGGCACCTGAAGGGCAAGAATATCACGTTTGGGCCAGTGGTAATTCCGCGTCCTGTTCCTTGAGTCTTTCCAAACTTTATCTGTTGTAACCAAATCCCAGTGGGTGGAGTTTGTCAAGTCAAAGATACAGGTCAATTCAGCCAGCAGGCCCTCCCTTCCCCAGCTGCCCCAGCGAGGCACCGTCACCGGCACTGTCACCATCCTTGACACAGAGAACTTAGTGAGGGGACAGGCAGGAAGACCCTGGTCTCTCCTGGAGCACGTGATGCACTGAGGCCATGCACAGCGAGCACGGGGAGCATGGAGCGGGAACATGCGTGTGCACACCTGTGTGCGTGTATGAGTGTAGGCACGCCTGTATGCTGCCTGTGACTGCATATGTGTGTGTGACCTGTGTGAACGTGTGCATGCCAGTGTGCTGCATGTGACTATGTGCATGTGTGTGAGTGTATGCATACTTGTGTGCGTGTGTACATGTGTGTGTATGTGCAGGGGGAGCAGGACTCAGGAGCCAGCTCCCAGAGCAGGTGGAGCCAGAGCAGCCCCAGGAATGGTGTCGGGCAACCAGTGGGGAGAACAGGGAAGGACGCACAGAAACAGGAAATAAGTCCTGGTAGTACGAGGAGGGGCCTGGGGGTGGAGGGTGCTAGGGAGAGGGATGGAGGGGGTGGGAGAGGGTAGAGGTGGCACGTGGTCATGGTGCCTAGTGTGGAGTCACCTCTCTGGACTTTGTGGCTTGTGGGGGGTGGAAACCGGCTTGCAGCAGATGGAGAAGCCCAGGAGCTGAGCAGGGGAGATTGCATTTACCATAACACTGGACCACACCTCCTCAATTCTTATAGCCTCTCAGCATGTGGCCTGTGTGTAAGCAGGGGAGGTGGCTGGGAGGAAGGCCACTGGTGCCCCACTTCCTGAGGGTGGAAACTCAAGGGGATATGCCATTCCATTGTCCTTTTTTAACGCAGTATTGTTCTCCTTGATCAAAAGCACATACTTATTTTGTTGTTGTTAATCTTCATCCAATGATATTTTTCCCATTGATTTTTAGAGAGAGTAGAAGGGAGGGAGACGGGGAGTAAGAGAGAAACATTGATTGGTTGCATCCTGCACGTGCCCCAACCCAGGCCGGGGATCAGACCTGCAACCCAGGTACGTACTCTTGACCGGGAATTGAACCTGTGACCCTTTGGTGTGTGGGCCGGCACTCTAAATGCTGAGCAACACCGGCCAGGGCTAAAGCACATACTCATTTAATTAGAACAGTAGGGTGATTTTTTTCCCCCCTAAAATTGAAGTTGGGGCCCTGGCCAGTGTGGGTGAGTGGTTAGAGCTTCGGCTTGAGCACCAAAGTGCAGGTTCGGTTCCAGTCAAGAGGGTGTACCTGGGTTTGAGGTTCGATCCCCAGCCCCAGTCTGGGTCGTGTGGGAGGCAGCCAATCAGTGAGTCTCTCACATTAATGTTCCTCCCTTCCTTCCTACCTCCCACTCTATGTAAAAATCAATGGAAAAACATCCTCAGTGGAGGATGAAAAAATTTAAAAAATACAAGTTAGGGGGTGCTGAAAAAACACAGGCCAAAATGTGACTTTCCTGGTCAGGCGACTGAGTGATGTGGCCTTTGTCTGAAAGTTTAGAAAAGTAACGTTAACAGCCTGGCTGGTGTGGCTCACTGGTTGAGCGTCGACCCATGCACCAAGAGGTCGCCGGTTCGATTCCTGGTCAGGACACATGCCCAGGTTGTGGGCTCGATATTCAGTGTGGGGCGTGCAGGAGGCAGCCATTCAATGTTCTCTCTCATCGATGTTTCAATCTCTCTCTCCTCTCCCTTTCTCTAAAATCAATAAAGGGGGAAAAAAAGTAGCGTTAGCAGAATGGGGTGGGAGATGCCGACTCTGATCTCAGCCTCCAGAGCTCGAAGGTACCACGGGTCCCCCGCCTGAGAGGGAGGGCACACTGCTGGCCCTGCTCCCTCTTGAAGGCACTGGGTCTGTGGTGACCTGTTAGTGCAGCACCCAGTGTGCCACCTGCCCCAGGCACTGCACTCTGCTGGAGAGGACACAGGCTCCGTGCCAGTCTCCTCCGGCCTCCTTCCCCATGATCTGGGCTGGTCCTGTGACTGCTGTGACCACAGGAAGTGGCCGAGGAGGCTCCCAGCTCCCGGCCTCAGGAGGCTGCTGCTGCTTCTGCCAGAGGGCAGACCCCGCTCTGTTCTTGCTCCAGGAGCACCTTGTGCAGCTGAGGCTGTTGGTGATCTGCTCTGCCTTGTTTGGGCTAATTGGTCTGATTTGTGTTTCTAGGTGCTGGCAAAACCCCAACCCTGGGCGGTGGCTTCCACGTGAACCTTGGAAAGGAGTCCAGAGCACAGACCCTGCAGAATGGTATTTCCCACTGCCCTGCTGCGGTGATGGGCGGGCACAGGGTGAGGGTGGGTGTAGGCCCCACCTCCAGGAGGAGTTGTTCCCAAGTCCCCTCCCCCAGGTCATCAGGACCCCTCCCAGAGGCCTCCTGCAAAGACTACCAGGCTGCTCAGTATGTGGGGTCCTGTTTGTCCTGTCTCTGTGAAGACAGGCAGAGACACTGCCATCTGTCCGGTGACATGCAGCCATTGTGGCCGTGCCCTGTGACAGACTGCAGAGATGTCTGCAGTCCTGGGCCGTTTCCTCGGGGTGTGCGTCTCCTTATTGATTGTGAGAGTTTTTCGTGTCCCTTAGATTCAAGTCTCGCATTGGCTGCACGAGGTATGGGACATGCCTGCCGTCTGTGGGGGCTTCACTTTCTCGACGCTCTACTTTGAAGCACAGACTGCCAGGCGGTGGGCTTGTAGTGACTGCTCACATGAAAATACAACCTTCGGTTTCCACTGTGCTTTTCCTGTGAGCCCGTGGGTTTGCTAGTACAGGTAGCTCTTCAGATCTCCAGCTGAATTCTCCCGTGGTTGGAAGTCGTCCTCGGCAGGATCTCCGTCTGTGGAGGCAATGTGACACTCCTAGTCTGAGTTCCTTTTTAACTGGGACCTTTGGGGGTCTTATCCCTTTCATTTGGGAGATACTTCTCAGGGAAGTGGGTTCTCTGTTTCTGTGTGTTTTCTTGGTGTGACGTGATTGTGGTAAGGTCATGTGCACTGAGTGTGCACCGCGGGACACACGCATGAGTCAGGGCCTCACTGGTGGAGGTGGCAGACTGTGCTCTGTGTGCCCAGAAAGCCCCTGCAGCCTCCACCGCGTGTTCTGTGCTTCAGACGCCAGAGTGGACCCTAGCGCGCGTCCCTTGCCTGGGCGGCAGGGGCAGTTGGTGGGTCGGCTGGTCGCTGTGTGGGACACCATGGTGTGAAAGCGCTGCTGGTGTGTTGTTCTGTCCTCCGAGGGTGTCATCCTGGGGGACGCTTGTCTGGTGCCATTGCCATCGTCAGCAAGCAGCCTGAGGTCCAGGAGCGGTGGGTGGTGGCACACGGGTCTTTCCGGAGGGTGTGCTGGCGCCTCGGGCCGTGTGACCTGCTTTCCCTGGTGAGCAGCCGGGGCTGCGTCACCCTCTCTGTGCGCAGGTCAGTGCCCAGCCAGTGGAGCCGCTCTGCGGGGCTCCGCGTAGGTTTTCAGACTTGTCATCTCTTGCTGATTCGTGGGTGTTCCTCCCACAGTCTGGGTGCAATTCCCCTGTTGGTGCACATATTTTGAATCGTTTTCCCAGTTGATGGCTTGGCTTTTCACTTTTTCTTAATCCTCACCTGAGGATATTTTTCCATTTATCATCAGATAGAGTGGGAGGGACAGACAAGGAGAGAGAGACACATTGACTGGTTACCTCCCATATGACCCGACCAGGGCCGGGCTGAACCGCAACCAAGGTACGTGCCTGTGACTGGAATCAAACCTGTGACTCATTGCTCAGCGGGCCGACGCTCCAACCGCTGAGCCAAACTGGCCAGGTCGGCTTTTCACTTTTTCAATGTTGTCTTTTTTCTTTTTTTTTTCAATGTTGTCTTTTGAGTTCTTTGTTTTAAAATATGTTTTCATTTACTTATTATTTTTTTTTAGAGAGAGAGAAACATCAGTGTGAGAGAAAAACCGATTGGCTGCCTCCTGTATGTCCCTTACTGGGTATCGAGCCTGAAACCCGGGCCTGTGCCCTGGCTGGGAATCGAACTGGGACCTCTCAGTCCATGGGATGATGCTCTATCCATTCAGCCACACCGGCTGGGCATCTTTTGAGTTCTTAATTTTATTTTATTTATTTTTTTATCTTCACCTGAGGACACTTTTCCATTTTTTGTTCAGATAGAGTGGGAGGGAGGGAGAGAGAGAGAAACATTGATGTGACAGGGACACATCAAGTGGCTGCCACCCTCACGACCCAACCAGGACTGGAGACAAACTGTAGCCGAGGTATGTGCCCTTAGCGAGAACCGAACCCGGGTCTCTCTGGACCACAGACCAATGCTCTAACTGCTGGAGCCAAACCAGCCAGGGCGAGTTCTTCATTTTAATGGAGTACCTCTGTATCATTTCTTTATGGTTAGGATTTTGTGACTTGTTTAAGAAATTCTTGTGTATCTTGAGGTCTGAAGATACTCTGCTGTGTTTTCATCTGGAAGCTTTACTGCTTTGTTTCCTATTCATTCATTCGTTTGTTAACCTTCATCCAACGATATTTTTCCATTGATTTTTTTGAGAGAGTGGAGCGGGGGGAGAAAGAGAGAGAAATAAAATGAGAGAGACCCATCTATTGGTTGTCTCTGGCATCACCCCAACTGCTGAGTTGGAACCTACAACCCAGGTACAGGCTCTTGACCAGGAATTGAACCCGAGACCCTTTGGTCTTGCTCTAACTGCTGAGCCAGACCAGCCAGGGCTTGTTTCACATTTAGAGTTGTGAGCCACTCAAGTCCATTTTTTCATACATGGTGTGAGGTAGGGTCAAGGCTCACATTTTTCTTTAAGGACATCTCGAGGTGCCAGCACCATCCTCGGAAGGCCACCCTTCCTTAGTGCATGCCATTGGTCACCTGTCACCAGTCATGTGAGCCCACATGACGCCTTTGCTATGGTGCCCCAGGTCTTCTCTCTAACTGCCGTGAGTCTGTCCTGTGGCCAGCGCTACACTGTCCTGGCCACCTGGCTGGTTCTCCAGCTCCTATGCCTTTCAAAGTAAAGGTCAGAGTCAGCTTGTTGATTTCCACAGGAAAACTTAACCCAGACTTCGGCTGGGCCCTGGATCTGCAGGGGGTTGTGGAGGATTGCTGCGCTGCTGTGCTCGGGAAGGCCCTGCTTCATCACCCCGTCCCTGTCCCAGGGCTGGGCGCCCCACGGCTGGGCCCTGGATCTGCAGGGGGTTGTGGAGGATGGCTGCGCTGCTGTGCTCGGGAAGGCCCTGCTTCATCAACCCCTTCCTGTCCCAGGGCTGGGCGCCCCACGGCTGGGCCCTGGATCTGCAGGGGGTTGTGGAGGATTGCTGCGCTGCTGTGCTCGGGAAGGGCCCTGCCTCATTAGGCCCTTCCTGTCCCAGGGCTGGGCGCCCCACGGCTGGGCCCTGGATCTGCAGGGGGTTGTGGAGGATTGCTGCGCTGCTGTGCTCGGGAAGGGCCCTGCCTCATTAGGCCCTTCCTGTCCCAGGGCTGGGCGCCCCACGGCTGGGCCCTGGATCTGCAGGGGGTTGTGGAGGATGGCTGCGTTGCTGTGCTCGGGAAGGCCCTGCTTCATCAGCCCGTCCCTGTCCCAGGACTGGGCGCCCCACGGCTGGGCCCTGCGTGCCCAGTGCCACATCCCGGTGCCCCCGACCTCCCTGTCACGTCAGTGTTTCCCTGTTACCAGCAGTAATGCAGCGTTTAGCCACAGGCTTGGCTTCAGTTAGAGCGGGAGGGAGAGAGGGACGGAGAGGGAGAGAGAAACATCGATGTGAGAGAGACACATCGAGTGGCTGCCACCCACACAACCCCAACTGGGGTCGGGGACAGACTGCAACCAAGGTACATGCCCTTAGTGGGAACCGAACCCGGGACTCTCTGGTCCATGGGCAGACGCTCTAACTGCTGAGCCAAACCAGCCACAGCTCATTTTCTTTTTTTTTGTTATTTTCTTTTTATGCTGGCTTCTAACAAGCCAGCATGTGATTTACCAGTTTCTTCCTTAAAAGTGTGAGGAATTTATTGGTGAGTGTCTGGGCCTAATGTTTTCTTTGTGAGAAGATTTTAATTTTTAATAGGATTTTAATAGGATTTTAATAGGACAAATTAGATTTTCTGTTTCTTCCCATCAGTTTCCTTAAGATGTCCTTTTCAGCTGCTGTCTGTTTCTTTATTCGGTTCAGGTTGGTGATCACAGCGCCACCCTGCCACTCCTGGTTCCCTCAGGTCCTCTTTTCTCTCTTGGCCTTAGCAATTGTTTGTTGTTGTTAATCCTCATCCAAGGATATTTTTCCATTGATTTTTAGATAGAGTGAAAGGGAGGAAGGGGTGAAGGAGGGAGGGAAGATGATGGGGGAGGGGGAGAGGGAGAGAGAAACATCGATCTGCCCTGGCCGGTTTGGCTCAGTGGTTAGAGCGTCGGCCTGCGGTCTGGAGAGACCTGGGTTCGGTTCCCGCTAAGGGCATGTACCTCGGTTGCAGTTTGTCCCCGGCCCTGGTTGGGTCATGTGGGTGGCAGCCACTCGATGTGTCCCTTTCACGTCGATGTTTCTCTCTCTCTCTTCCTCCCACCCTTTCTGAACAAAATATTGAAAAATGTCCTCAGGTGAGGGTAAAAAATAATGATAATAAAAATTAAAAATAGAAACATCGATCTGTTGCCTCCTGCACGCCCCTGATGGGGGTTGAGCCCGCAACCAGGGCATGTGCCCTGACCAGGAATCAAACTGGCACCTCTCAGTCCATGGAACATGCTCGATCCACTGAGCCGCACCAGCTGGTGGGACTGTGTCTTTCTAACTACAGTCTGTTTATACGTTTCTGTGAGTTGATGTCTTTTCTAACATTTCGAGGCTATAATGGGCTTTGAAAGTTTTCTGCTTGGAACTGTCTGCTTGTTGACCTTAGCATTTCTTTCTTCACCTCTGTTTCCCGCAGATGTTGGTGTTTCTTGGTTGTTAGTTCATGTTATATGAATGCGAATCTTGAGTTGATCCCCTCACTGTGGCAGCCCACGTGGGGCACCTGTAGGCTTTGGGCGCCCTGGGTCCAGTCACAAGAGTGGCCTCTAGTGGGCAGTGCGCAGGGACGGGTGTGACATGAGCCCTGCTAGAGCACCAGAGTGCCCGCTGCGCCAGCCTTCCCATGGGTCCTTCCGCCCCGGGCAGCTTCCGGGGGCCCTGTGGTGCAAGGGCGTGGTGTAGACTGGAGGCTCGCCTTCCCCTGGGCGCTGCTGTGTCCGTGTTCTCAGTCTCTGCTCTTGCCCGGTCTGGAGGGATGCTGGTCAGTGCCAGCTGGAATAGAGGGCCCTGTCCTTGCAGAGTGTCAGCGTCTCAAAGGCACCTGCCATCAGCATCCCTCTCCTGGGAGGAGGCCTGAGGACAGGAAGCCGTGCTTGGCTGGGAATCGGCGTTGCATGGCTTTTGTTTCTAGTAGCACGTCGTGCAGTTTATTCAGTCCACCAGTTGTGCCCACGGAACCCGCATGGATCAGAAGCTCGTTTGGAGGAGGGAGTGTGGCAGTGTGTGCGGGGCTCCTTGGTGCGGACATGCCCTGAGTTGTGGTAGTGCTCGCACACTCTGAATGTACTAGGACATTGGGACCTACGTTCCATGTGGGTAGTGATACAGTCCGAGTTGTATTGCACTGAAGAACTTGTGAAATCACGGGAGCCCCCGAGCCCCTGGCCTGTGGGTTGGGTATACGGTCAGAGCTGCAGAGTGAGAGCTGTCCTCACCACTGTGGCCCCTCCCTGACTCACCCACTGCGTGGGCTGCGCCTTGAGAGCGCGCCCTCAGGGAGCACCTTCCCTGCCTGTGGGACGTCGTCCCAGGCGTGCGCCACAAGCTGGGAAGCAGCAAGCGCAGCCTTAGTGGGTTCCCCATCAGCTGCCCTGTCATCTCTGGGCCTTGTGGGACTGTGCTGTGTGCTGCCCGACACGTTGATGGGGAGCCAGTGATTGGCTCTGCTGCCTTTCTGTCCAGTGGGTTAGGGTCCTGGTTTTGCCCAGGCCTCGGCTCTGGGGACAGGGACAATGACCCTGACCCCGTGTCTTCAGTCTGACTGGGGGCCTGGGAGCTGTGTGGACTCCAGGAGGTCTTATGGAGTGCTCAAGGGAGCAGGGCCACATGGTGAGGTCGGGTGGGGGACCCCTTGGGGTGCCGACTCTGATTCCCTCAGGTTAGAGTCAGGCTCATCCCCCAGCTGCCACGCCGGTTCCTCGGGGTGCTCCTTTGGTGCCCGCCTTGGGCAGCGTCACTGTCAGGTTGCTGTCAGCAGCATTTGCTGGGCAGGCTGGCCTGGCACAAGCCAGACAAGACCAGGGACACCGTAGAACCCTTGCCTCCCATAGAACCCTCGCCCTTGTCAAAGAAAGCAAGGAACCAGCTCGTCCTTTTCTGTGGGCTGAGTGGAGGCCTGCTTCTTACCCAGCATGCCCACGCAGCGGGTGAGTGGGGGAGGGGCCTCAGTGGTGAGGACAGCTCTCACGCGGCAGCTCTGACCCGTGTGCCTGCGAGGCCTTTGGGCCTCTGTTCTGAGCTGAGTGCACGGCCGCTCATGAGTGGGACAGCACGGTTCTCCTGCTGCTGTCTTTTGCCCACAGCTTTGGGGTGGGTTTGCTCAGAAGGGGTGTGCGTGCAGATGGTCCCTCTCCTGAAGCCGCCTGGTGCTGCTCGTGCCTTGGCCAGGATGGCGCACGGGAAGTAGGGCGCTGAGCCGTGGTAGAGGGTGTTTCGTGCAGGCTTCACTGGCAGGAGGTTGTGTCTGTGCGACCTGTGGGGAGCCCTTCCCAGACACCCTGAGCTTAGGGACTTGAGAGAGGTTCACGCCCCACACTGCCCATGCCTGCCCAGGCCTCCGCCTGTTTGGTGGCACCTGAGAGTCACAGTGAATCGGCACCCGGCACCCGTGCCGACGGTGTTAGTGGAGCACACACAGTGCCTGCGAGTGCAGAGGGCGAGGGGAGCCTTGCTCTGAGTGTGTGGCTGGCGGCTTGGGCTCAGGCCCAGAAGTAACTGTCGCTTGTGTCCTAGGGCGGCGCCAGATCCACCACCTGGGGAGCCAGCTGCAGCTGAACCAGCACTGCCTGGACACGGCCTTCAACTTCTTCAAGATGGCCGTGAGCAAGCACCTGACCCGCGGCCGGAAGATGGCCCACGTGATCGCCGCCTGCCTCTACCTCGTGTGCCGCACGGAGGGCACGCCACGTATCCTTTGCTCCCGGGGCCTCGGCGCACCCTGGCGTGGCTCTCAGCAGCCTCTGCTTCGATGCTGGGGTGCAGTAGAGTGACTTGTGTTTAGTTGAAGCACCTTGTAGGATTAACTGTCCGGATGAATGCCGGGCTTCCTGGTCGCCATCTGCCCTCGGCCCCTGGGGAGGAAAGTGGGTGCTCTGCCATCACTCTTCAGTGTCTTCTTGCTGTTGGACAATCGTAGTCGGGCCGGTGTCCCGCAGTGCAGGGTGGGCGTCCGCACAGGCCCACTGACCTCATCGTACCCGAGGACCGTGTGCTCTCTTCCTGTGCACGCTTCACGGGTGTGCACTGCGGCCCCACTGGACCAGGGCTCTGTGTGCCGCCTCTTCCTGGGGAACCTGGCTCTGGCTCCCTGCAGGGCCTCTGTCCTCCTGCTTCGTGTGCCCCCCCCCCCACTCCTGACCCCACAGCCTCCAGTGGCACCTGTGCACATCAGAGGGCGGTCTCCTTTCTGCCTATGACCACGGGGAAGTCCATGATGCAGACAGTGTCCCCAGAATTTGCAAGGCGGTGACAAGGTCTGAGTGGCCCGATAGCCTGAGTCTTGTGCTGTTTGTGGCGGGCACTTGTTCACAGGCTGGGAGGGTTCGTGGACCCGGTGGCCCTGGTACCTCCTGTCTCTGGCTGTCTGAGCCACTGGTTTCTCCCTCTGTGCTGCTCCTGCCCGGCCTCATGGCCCTGTCTTCCCTCCCCCCCCCCCGTTGACCTTGTGCCCAGGCAGAGCTGGGCACAGAGGCCGCATGGGGAGCACCGTGTCGTGGGGCATCCAGCACAGGCAGGTTCACACATGGGATGAAGGCGGGCTGCCTGCCCGCGAGGGTGGTAGAGAGCCCATGGCCAGGGTTTCTCCTTGAGATAGTGAATGGGCCAGAATTGGGTTATGGGGCTGGTGGCACAGCTCTGTAAATAGACTCAGAACCACCGAACTGCACATTGAACAGGTGAGTTTGTAACACTGTTCCAAGACCAAGCGGCAGGGTCTGGGGAGGCCCTCTCTGCAGCCTCACACAGGCCAGCCTCAGGGAGACGGATGGAGAACCCCAGACTCATCCTGGACACCCCTCTTGTTCCTGCCCCCGTGGCTTGGCTCTGTGGTCCCTGTCCTGGCACTGCCTTGTCCCTTCTATGTGAATTACAAACGCCAGCGTTCACGCAAAGGCCCCCTTTCTCCTTTCCCCGCTGTCTGCAGCAGCCCCTCAGTCCCCGCGTGGCCCCCTCCCTGGCTCACAGCGTCTGGTGGGAAGAGACCTGCTCTCTGACCCCCGTCCCTGGGCCAGGCTGGGTGTGATTGCAGACACTGCAGGCTGTGCGCCAGACTGGCTGCGGCACCGTGCACAGCGTGGTTTTGCCCGTAGCTGGTTTTCAAGTCTGATGTTTACGGGGCCCCAGCAAAGCTGCCAGCAGGCCTGTGTGTCTAAGTGAAGCCAGGAAGCCATGTAGGGAGACTGCTGTCACCTGTGCCTTGCCATCGTCTGAGGGAGCCCTGGGTGGGAGGGACAGGTCTGCACAGGGCGCCCCGTGGCCCACTGGCTGTGTCTGGCCTGCTACTGCCTTTGGACCCTCTGTCCTGGGCATCAGACCCGGGCTGTTAACAGCATTGGTGGTTCTTGGGTCTGGGTGGGAGTCCAGAGTCTGAGCTTGTGTCCCCACGGCCACTGTGTGCTCCTCTGCTCTGGCTTAGCCAGGGACTTGGCCGTGTTCTGGAGTCGGGGGCAGGACTGCTCCTCCTCCGGTGTAGGTGTCGGGGAGATGCTCTTGCGCCGCCTGGGCAGGGCTCTCTTTGGACTGTTTCTGTGTGACTGCTGCCGCTGCCCTGGCTTTGGGGAGCTGTCCATCTCGGACACGGAAAGTGCTGGTGCTCTGACTACTCCCAGGATGCCGCAGTCTGACCGCTGTGCTGATGTCCCCTCTTCCATGTCTTCTGTCTGTAATTGTGTCTTTTTCTTGCATGGGGGTGACCAGTTAGACTTTTTTCCTCAGTAATAGCTTTACTGAGCTGTAATCCACATACCACACAATTCACCCATTAGGTGTGTGACTCCATGGTGCTGCCGGCACCGCCCATGTGAGGGCGCTTGCGTTCCTGACTGAGCCCTGCCCAGGCAACCAGCCGTCCGCTGTCTGTCTGTCTGCCTCCTGGACGCTTCCTGCACTCGACATTGCGGAGCCTGGCACTGGGAGCGCACGTCCCAGGCTCTCCAGCAGCCCTGGCCTCCAGCAGCCACGGCCCCCAGCGGTGCAGGAGGCTCCACTCCCCCCGCCTCGCCAGCACGTCTTCAGTCTCAGAGGACCGAGAGGTTGCCTTGTCGTGCACCTGTATTGTACATTTATTTTACTTCATTGATTTCTTTTTATTACTTCTTTCCTTCTATTTTCTTTGGGTTTGATTTACTATTTTTCCAGCTTCTTGAGACACATGATTTTAGTTGGTTTTTCCTGACGTGAGCATGTGAGACCATGTGTTTCTCTGCAGGGGGATTTTGGCTCAGCATCACCCAGTTTTGATGTGTTGTTCTGTTCAGAATATTTTCTTTTTTTTTTTGTTAATCCTCACCTGAGGATATTTTCCCATTGATTTTTCAGAGTGGAAGGGAGCAAGGGAGAAAGAGAGAAACAATAATGTGAGAGAGAGACATCAATTGGTTGCCTCCCGCACAACTTGGACCGGGATTGGGGATCGAACCTGTAACACAGGCACATGCCCTTGACCAGGAATCAAACCCAACGCTCCAATTGCTGAGCCAAACTGGCCAGGGCCAGTTCAGAATATTTGCTAATTTCCATGGTTACTTCTTAGATCCTGGACTCATTTAGAAGTGACTGGTTTTTTTGTTTGTTTGTTTTCAAATATATCTTTTGTATTGATTTTTTAGAGAGTTAAACATCGATGTGAGAAAGAAACATTGAATGGCTGCCTCCTGTACACTTGGTACTGGGCATGTGCCCTGACTTTGGGAATCGAACTGGACCTCTCAGTCCATGGGACAATGCTCAATCCACTGAGCCACACCGGCCTTGTTGTTTGTTTTGAAGGCAATTTTCTTGTACAACCAGCTTCACTATGCCCTGCGGGCCCCGAGGACAGGCCCTGAGTGACCTGTCCGCTATGAGCTGAGACTGTTCACGGGCAGCAGCGGTCGGTTCTGGCGCCATGCGCCCCAGAAGCGCACCTGGGAGGCGTGCTCTGTAAGTGTCGCTGGGTCGGGCTGTTAGTGGTGGTCAGGTCGCTTTCGCGTTTCCATCGAACCCAGGTATGTACCCTTGACCAGGAATCGAACCCGTGACTCTGGTCTGCAGGCTGATGCTAACCACTGAGCAACCGGCCAGGGCAAAGTTTGTGTTCTTTTTTGACCTTTAGTTCTGCCATATTTAAGTCTCCGTTAACTTTTCCACTTCGTGAGGTGAGTCTGAGTTTGAATGGGGTCCTGTCTGTGATTGTTCTCCCGGAAGCAGGGTAACCTGTTGTTGGACCTGAGCCTGGACACCAGGGGCAGTGGTGGCGGGCGTGGGCGGCACTTTCTGGAAACCACCTTGATCCCGTGTGGACTCTCAGGACTGTCCTAAGTCCGATGTTGTCTTATCCACCGTCATTCTGTGTTGATGCATCTTCTTGGAGGACACACTTAGTGCCACCCACCAGAGCATGGCCGGGACCCAGAGGGAGGCAGAGAGGCTCCAGGCTGGGCCCCGCTGACTTACCTGTCCCAGTGAGGGGCTTGGTGTCCCTGAGTGGAGAAGGATGGGAGAGGCTGCTGGGAGGACGCTGGCTCCTCAGCCAGGCTGCCAGAAGACCCGACACGCACATTAGTGGGTAACCCGTGTGGGTCAGGCCCGGGGTGGGCGTGTGGGGATGTGGACAGCTCAGGGAAGCGTGTGGCTCTGCTTGTCCTGCTCAGAAGAGGAGCTTCTTCACAGCCGGGGGACATCGGGCAGTTGCCTGCCATCCTTTAAACTTGGTTAAGTTGAATTCCAACCTCCTTTCTAAAATATGCGCCCTTTCTCTAGCACCGGGCGCAGGTGGACGCCCCCAGTCTGCGCTCACACCTTGCAGCCCTTGCTCTGCCGTCTCTCGCTCCCAGGCCTGCAGTGGGCGGGTCAGGAACCTGTGTGTCTACAGCACTGCTTTAGGCTTATGTTTTCCTTTAGAGTTATACAGTAAATGCCCTGGTCTCCGTTGTATGGCTGGGTGAGTTCTGGCTTAATGAGGGTCCGTGCGTCCGGCCATCTCGGGAGCAGGCAGCGTCGTCCTGTGGCACGTTCCTGACACCCAGCGTCAGTCGCCCTTCTGAGCCCAGACCCTGCTGCCCGCTGTGAGCGTGTTTGGGAGCCTCCTGTGATGGGCCTGCATGGGCGCTCTTGTCCGTGGTTCCGTCATCGCTGGAGCTTCTGACATCGTCCCTAGGGCATATGGGACAGGTTGTTGGCTCCTCTGTTGATGATCCCACTGGTCTCTGCTGGCTGTGTGCAGGGCGTGTAGTTTCCTCTGTGGACGGAGTCCCTCCAAGTGGCCCAAGGGCAGGTGTAGGCTCAGTTTGTGGGAAACTTGTAGCCTTTCTGCAGAGGGACTGTCAGGACGTCCAGCCAGCTCCTGGCGGCCTTGTTGCTGTCACTGGCTTTGCTGTGATGGCGGAGGAGGGCTCTGTCCCCGTGCTCATGGGCCGTCTGTCCCCGCGCTCATGGGCCGTCTGTCCCCGCGCTCATGGGCCCTCTGTCCCCGCGCTCATGGGCCCTCTGTCCCCGCGCTCATGGGCCCTCTGTCCCCGCGCTCATGGGCCCTCTGTCCCCGCGCTCATGGGCCGTCTGTCCCCGCGCTCATGGGCCGTCTGTCCCCGCGCTCATGGGCCCTCTGTCCCCGCGCTCATGGGCCGTCTGTCCCCGCGCTCATGGGCCCTCTGTCCCCGTGCTCATGGGCCCTCTGTCCCCGTGCTCATGGGCCGTCTGTCCCTGTGCTCATTGGCTTTCTACCTCTCTTGGTGAAGCATCTGTTCACAACTTTTGTCCATTTTTTGGCCTTTATTATTTTTAAATAGACTTCATTTTCTAGAGCAAGTTAGGTTTACAGAAGAGTTCTGCCTACCTCCTCTAGTTTCCACACAGCTTCTGTCAACACCTGGCATGCGTGTGCTCTGCATCCACATGTCCACTTTTGGCTTGACAAATGCGTGATGCTGTCACCATTGTGGGCACACACAGGGCAGTTCCATGCCCTACAGATCCCCGTGCTCTGCCCATCCTCCGCCCCCGCCCCTCCCACCCAGGCAAGCACTGATCCCCCACCGTCTGACAGCTGCCCGTGTCCAGAACGCCGCTGGCTGGGTCGCGGTGCACAGCCTCCGGCTTTGCCAGCCTCCTCTGTTGTCTTCCTCCCAGGCCCTGGTTTCTGCTCATACGTTCCGTGTACCCTCCCTGCATTCCCCATGTCCTTCCCCACCCTCACAGTTGTCACAGCCTATGAGTCTGCACGTGGCACTGTCTTGTGTGGCTGGCTGCCCACCCTCAGAGACAGAGAGACACGGCCCTCAGAGGTGGTGTGCAGGTGTCCGTCCTCATGTGGGCTGCGGCACTGGGGACTGCCCTCCTGACACTGGTCTGGGCTCTGATCCAGCCTCATGGGGTTTCTTTCTGAGCTGCTTCTCAGAGCCACCGCGGACCTGGCATGACACTTTTTGCTTCATCTGACAAGTTCCTGGCTTAGCAGCTTGTGTTTAGGTTCGTGTGTGCCTTGTTCTAGGCCTAGAATCACTAGTGCCTGTTCTGGTCATGGATTAATCATTGCCCTGAGCTGGGCCAGGGCCCATGCCAGCTGTCCCCTTGAGCCCCAGCACTGTGGCAGTGGCTGTGTCTGTCCCCAGTAGCCGTGAGCTCTGGGGCAGAGGACACTCCCAGTGCCCGCAGGTGCTCAGTAAAGGTTGCTGCGCACTTGGGCTGGCCGTGCAGGGCAGGACCCCTCAGCATGCACAACTGGCTGGTCAGGGCCCGGTCACCCTGCTGCTGCCTTACTCTTCGTTCTCGGTCAGCGCTGAGCTTAGATTTCCCAGGGCCTGTGGGTGCAATGCTCCTTGACCTTGCCCGCAGACATGCTCCTCGACCTCAGCGACCTGCTCCAGGTAGAGTCCCTTTTCCTCGGGGGCTGAGCTGGGGGCACATGCTGCCCTGCCCAGTTGGGAGGGTCCATAGGTGAGGGACACAGGAAGGTGCGCTCTCTGGTGGGGGCACGGGGTTCAGAGCCCCATGTGGTCCTGGGCTGGTAGCCCGGCCTCAGAGCCAGGGAGAGACCCAAGTAGACTTTGTCTTAGGCAAGGACAGTTCTTTAAAAGAAAAAAAACGGACTCATGCATACATTTTAAACAATATACAAACCTATATATACCATCAATTTAGAGAAATTTGCCTTCCAAGTACTGGGAAAGCATTTTCCTGTAGAACCTCTCATCTCTGAAGGACTGGATGCGGTGGGAAGACCCAGTGAGAGGGCACATGTAGATGGGACGCTGTCGGGCAGGGCAGAGCATCCCGTGCCCTGGGGTTTGCCTAGCAGTCAGTCCACTGAGGATTCGGAGACAAAGGTCGTGTTATTTAAAAGACATGAGTGTGAGGACTCAGGCAGGATCCACACGCATTCCACCCCTGTGGGAGAGCTTTGTCCAGGGCTGGGTGTCCCACGCGGGTGCAGTGCCCCTGGGGCCAGCCAATAGGTTGACTTGACTCACTTCGGATGCTGCTGTGTGTCTGTCCTTCCAGCTGTCCTTGCGCAGGTGCCCCCCGAAGTCCTGCTGCACATACCCCTCGGAATGGTGAGGATCCAGCACTTCACGTGCGGGCCCCGTCCAGGCCGGGCCACACGCCTTCCTTTGCAGGGAGGACGGGGAGCCAGCAGGGCAGCCGCTCAGGGAGTGCTTGGGCCCTGCTTGCAGGGCGGGGGATATTCTGGTATTCTCACTTCCCAGCTTTGGAAGTGGGAGACCAGTTAGGTGTCCAAACGGAGAGGGCAATTGAGTGGATGTTCCTGCTGACCCAGGGTCCAACCAGGGCCCAGGGGTGGAAGGGTGGGGGCAGGGCAGTCACTGTGCTGACCTGAAAGTTTAGGATGGACACACACACTTTGCTTAGACCTAAAGCCTTGGGCAGAACCCTGGTGGGTTGGGTCCAGCATTCACAGAGGGCATCACCCCGGGAGCTCACACTGCCAGGGGCTGACCATTCAGAGGAAATGAGTAAAAGACTTGAAATTACAAGAGACCACCTAGGATCAGGGTCTCATTTTGTTCTTATTCGCACACCCCAAGGTTCAGCACTCCTTGGGTTGAGCTCATGGTGAACACCTCCAGCAGGAGCCCCGGGCCGACCTGGCCCCCACTTCATCCATGGGTGCTGGCAGGAGGCCCCTGGGTCCCCTTATGGTGCAGCTGAAAAGGGTTCACTCTCCTGGGGCACAGCCCCTCAGAGGTGGAGCCGGGAGCCCCACGGTGCAGAGCCCACCTGCTGAGAGGAGTGGGAAGGGCTAGCCGGCCTCTCCCAGTGGTGGCCATCACAGTGACAAGCTGCAAACACAGAGCCACCCCTAGACGAAGTGCCAGTGTCAGGACTCGGGGTAAATGCTGAGGGGCAGCACCTCGGCAATGACTGCCTGCATTCTACGTGTACCCTTTTACCTGTTTTATTTTAGTTCTGTTATCCTCACCAAGGATATTTTTCTGTTTATTATTTTTATATAGACTAGGAGGGAGGGAGGGAAGGGGAGAGAGAGACAGAGACACATCGATGTGAGAGAGATACCAATTTGTTGCCTCCCATACATGCCCAGACCAGGGCTGGGGATCGAACCTGGGTTTCGTATGTGCCCTTGACTAGAATCAAACCTGCCAGCCCTTTGGTGCCCAGGCTGACGTGTAACCGCAGAACCACAACAACCAGGGCTGTGCGTCCCCTTTTTATTTATTTATTTATTTATTTATTTATTTATTTATTTATTTTTTATTCTCACCCGAGGACATTTTTTTGTTCAGACAGTGGGAGGGGGAGAGAGAGAGAAACATCGACGTGAAAGGGACACGTCGAGTGGTTGTCATCCACACGACCCAACCAGGGCCGGGGACAAACTGCAACTGAGGTACATGCCCTCAGCGGGAACTGAACCCGGGTCTCTCAGGACCGCAGGCCAACGCTCTAACCGCTGAGCCAAACCATCCAGAGCTATTTATTTATTTTTAATCCTCATCCGATGACATTTTTCCATTGATTTTTTTTTTTTAAATAGAGTGGGAGGGAGAGAAAGAGAGAAACACTGATGTGTGAGAGACACATTGATTGGTTGCCTCCTGCACACCCCCAACTGGGCCTGGGATTGAACCCGCAACTGAGGTATGTGCCTGTGACACGTCTTTGGTCCGCAGGCCAACACTCCAACCGCTGAGCCAAAGTGGCCAGGGTCGTGCTTCCCCTTTGTATTGAATTTACTTATGCATTTTTTTTTTTTTTTGAGAGAGAGAAACATCGTTGAGAAACATCAATCGCAGGCCTCCTGGATGCCCCCTACTGGGGATCGAGCCCACAACCCTCATGTGCCCTGACCGGGCATTGAACCGGGACCTCTCAGTCTGTGGGACGACGGTCAAGCACTGAGCCATGCCGGCCGGACCGTGCTTCCCTTTAACACTTGACTTCCCGTTGGAGATCCACTCAGAGAGCCCTTCCCTGCAGCACTCGTGTCTTCATCTGCCGGGGACCCCGACAGTGGTGGGAGGTGTGGCGTGGGCAGGCAGGTCGGTTCTCTCTGGTCTGAACAGAAGCAGGTCAGGAGGTCCAGGAGCCTGTTGGGAACCCAGATGAGGGTTGGGGGGGCTGCTAGGGAGATGCACATGTGCACACACTCCACATGTACACACACACATACCACATGCACACGGACATGGCAGGGGGCAGGCCGTGAGCTCTGTGAGCTACCAGCCCTCATGATGGGGCTTCTGGAGCCTTCGGGGTATCTGAGAGGGGCAGGTAGAGTATGGCACACACCGAGGCCTTGACTTCTGGTGTCTTTTCTGGTGGCCTCTGAGGCACTGGACCAAGGGCCCTTGTCCAGGGGCCCATAGGCCAGGCTAGAACAGGGCAGGGAGCTTTCTGGGAGGCTGGTTAGGGGGCTTTTATATAGGGTTCTCTAAAGACTGAACAGTGAAATGTATATTTTGAGAACATAAAGCAGACATTCCTAAATATAAGTGCCACCCTTGGTGTGGTTCTCCCTAACAGGTGAACGTGTACGTGCTGGGGAAGACGTTCCTCCTCTTGGCAAGAGAGCTCTGCATCAACGCGCCGGCGATAGGTACGGCAGGGCCGGCGAGCAAGCCAGCAGTGCAGTGCTGAGGGGGGCTGTGTGCGAGTGCGCGGACAGGGCGAGGTAAGAGATGGGTCCCCTCGCCCTGGCCGGTGTGGCTCAGCGGTTGGAATATCAGCCCACAGACCAAAGGGTCGTGGGTTTGATTCCAGTCAAGGGCGTATACTTGGGCTGCAGGTTCAATCCCTGGCCGTGGTGGGGTCGTGAAGGAGGCAACCAATTGATGTCTCTCTCTTATCAATGTTTCTCTCCCTTCTTCCCTCTAAAAATCAATGGGAAATATCCTCGGGTGAGGATCAACAACAACAAAAGGAAACATGTCTTGGAAACTGCAGGAACCCAGCAGGGTGGCAGTTTCTAATTTAAAACCGAATGCTGAGGTCAGTCCTCGGCAGGGGTGGACACAGGTGTAGACAGAGGGGACCTGGGGTGCTACAGCGTGGGGACCTTGTGTCCACCTTTTAAGGGAGGCCCCTGCAGCCAGGTGTCTCGGGGAAGGCTGGAGCTCAGCACAGACGGCACAGGCAGCCTGTGTGTTGGGGTGTTGCCAGGGCGGTTTTCAGTCTGTCTGGGCAGGCTGCTCCTTCCTGGCCTGTCAGCGTCCAGAAGTGATTTCCTCGTATTGAAGGAGGGCAGTCCAGAGTCACCTACAGGATGGCTCCCTGGGACGATGGTCCACTGGGCAAGATGGTCTCCTGGGGCCGGGAAGGCAGGGTCCAGCAGGGCAGGCCAGGAGGCTGCAGGATGGGGAGGGCCTTCTCCCAGAAGCCACATCCCTGCTGAGTGACGCCACACCTCCCCCTGGGGATCATGCTTACGTTTTCAGAAACAAAGCAATGGCCCTGGGAGTGTGCAGTGTGAAGACAGAGTCTGCTTCACTCCTGGGCACCCGTATGGGGACACTGCAGGCCTGCCAGGAATGTTCCCATGGGCTGGAGCCCTGGGCCCTTCGAACCGCCCCCCACCCCACCCCAATCCAAACCCATCACACAGTAGGGCTTTGAGCAGCTAGTGACAGCTTAACTAAGAGCAAGACTCTGCCTTTCCCAGAGCATCCCGGCTGCAGAGCGTGCAGGCCCAACCTGCCAGCAGAGGGCAGATTTGGGGCACACAGGTCCCCCTTGGGACGCCGTTTGCTTCTAACCAGTGAGCACTGTTCAGCACTATTGGTTTTCTCCCCGCTGCTTGGTTGGTGAGAACTCCAGCGCCCTGCAGTACCTTATCTACTAGTGGCTCTCACTTTATTAAAATTTGAGATAAACTGTTTTAAATGACTTTTCCAAGTTTTAGATTTGAAAGAAAAGCCTTAAGCTTAGAACCACTTAGAATAAAATCCCAAAGGGTGGGAGGGGCATCCAAGCCCAGAAAGCAGGCAGTGTGGGCACCACTGGCAGGGTCAGGGCTGCGTCTGCTGTCCTCTTGAGATGTGCACCCCAGCGTGCAGGAGGTGCTGTGAGGTCCAGCCACCAGGATTCAGAAGCCAAAGCTCTAGCTCCGTGGAAAACGTCTGTTTCATCCCTTTGGCTGCACCCAGCTCTGCACAAAAGATTGACATTTGTGAAGCCCGCCAGCTCCATGGAGAAGAGTGCGGCCCTCTGCCCCCACAGCACATCATGCCACCTGCGGCCTCAGGCATAGAAGATGAGCTCAGGGATCTGCCCGCCCTGGACCCCAGTGCCGTTGGTGCTGTCTGAGGAGCACTGGAACTGGAACGTCACCTTCCCGCACTGCACCTCCGTCATGCCCTCCTGCCCGAAGTAGCTGAGCTCGCTGCCGTCCAGCACAGCGCTGGCCGTGTAGAAAGTGTCCTGCTCCACTTGCACGGGGTGCTCAAACCAGACTGAGAAGGTGCTGCTGGAGCCATCGGAGACAAACCTGGTCAGGTTCTGAGCGAGGACCACCCCCAGCCGCTTGAGCTCAATCTTCACGCTGTACTCTGCTTTCCCGGAGCTAGACCCGTACAGGCCCAGGCCTGCAACAAACACCCTCCTGTCTGCGGCAAACTGGATGCTGTCGCAGCGCCCACGGTAGCGCCACTGGTTGCTGCGGTAGGCTGAGGACTGGAAGCGGTGGCACCTCTGTGGGGCCAGGCCCTTCCTCTTGGTCAGTGGGAAGTCGAGCAGTGGTTTATTGGCTGCCGTGTACCACAGGAAGATGTTGTGGGTCTCCTCCAGGGTCAGGATGTCTGACTGTGCAGCGCCGTTGGCAAACTCCTCCAGAGTCATGGTTGGAATTCGAACCAGGTTGAGGGCTGGCCCCAAAACATGCCTCTTGTTTCGTGGGGTGACTGGCAGGCCCTGCCTCTTGCACTCGGCCTCAGCCCAGTTCAGGACGGCCTCGAAGACCACTGCTTCCTTGGTGTTGAGGGCCTCCCGAGTGACAATGATCTCCAGGGTCTGCCAGTCAATTTCACAGAATCCCTCGGACCTCAGGGCCATCTCAGCCTGCGCGTCAATGACCTCCCAGCAGCGCTGGGTCAGCTCAGGCTCCTCAAACAGCCGGCTCTGAGACAGCAGCACACAGGCGTTTTTGGCTTCCAGACTTGTCTCCAGAAAGTGGACGCAGGATTTTGCTAAGGCGGGGACAATGTACTTCTTGGCAGCATAGAGAGTGGCCAGCACTGTGTCTGCTTCCAGGTCAATCTCATCACTGTACATGTACCTAGGCAGGGCAGGCACCGTGTCACAGGCTGCATGGGGCACACCAGACACCCCGGGCCTGGGAGACAAGCCTGTCAGTCCTTGTGGACTTCCCCGCCAGCATCCTGGAGGGCACCAGGCAGTAAGGAACCACCCCATCCTTGCAGCTAGTGGAGCCCACTTACTTTAACATGATAAGGAAAGCCGCAGGCTCCACGTCTGGGATGTGGATTTCCGGCTTGACTTCTGCCAGGTCCCCGTAAAACATGGCATAGAAGACTGAGCTACCAACAGCCAGGACGTACTGTGGAGAGAGAGGGAGCTGCCCTGAGCTCTGGGCCCTCCTGCCACCAGCGGTGGTAGGAGGACAGTCATTTCATAATCAGGAAATGGCCTGTAACCTTTCGAAGCTTGAAGGGCCAAGCTTCTACCAACCTTGTGAGCAGGCACTCTCCGGGCCCCGCCCGGGGGCCCCACAATGAAGTGGACATCGGCCATGAGCTCGTTGTTGAACATCAGCGCGTTCCTGCAAAGGAGAAGGGCACAAGGCTCGGGCCTCTGGTTGGCGCAGGGCTCCACCCAGGGTCTGGGCCTGGGGAGGGCAGGGAGCAGGAGGACCGGCTCTGGGTGGCTCGGGGTCGGGACCAGGGACGGGCGCGGCCCAGGCTCACCTCTCGCGCAGAGTCGGGTGGAAGGATTGCCAGTTGGGGCTCTCCAAGTTGTTGTTGTCGGGCGCGGGCGGCGAGGGCACGGGCGGTGGCGGAGCTGGCGGCGGGGCGCTGGGCGGGCCCTTCCTGCCCGCGGTGGCGGTGTTGCTGTTGGCAATGTCCGTGGCTGTGGCAGCCGCGGCCCCGGCGGGCGTGTACAGCTCCGCGGCCATCTTCACGGGCAGGACAGTCTCCGTGCGCGGGGGCGGTACGCCGTGCGTCTTCGGGCCGTGCTGGGGCCTCGGGGTGGGCTCCGCTAGCACGAGGAGCGCAGTGAGACACTGCGCCACCCGGCCGTGCAGACAGGCCAGGGGCAGCAGCATGGGGCCGCAGCGGGCGCTGCTCCCTCGCCCCGCCGCTGCCCGCTGCCTGGCCGCAGGGGGCGCCTTTCCAGCTGCGCGTCACGTCACGTAGTGTCACGGCGCCTGGGTCCGCCCCCATCCCCGCCCTGCGCAGATGATGACGTGAGCTCTGCGCCCTGTCCCTGGCCAGATCACTCCCAAGGCTCCTCCCCTAGAGCTGACCCCGCCCCCAGGCGCAGGGCGCACGCCTGCGCCCTGCCTCTGGAGCTGGCTGTCCCGGCCTTTCTCTGAGCTGAGATGTTTGGGCCCCTGTAGGGTTCGCCGCAGGACTACAGCGGTTGAAGGGCCGGGGCTGCATCGTGTTTCAGTGGGGACACTCTGACCCCACCCGCTGGCGAGCCGACCTGCCATGCAGCTACCGCATTTCCCTGATCACCAGTGAGTCCAGCACCTGGCCACGTGCCTGTTGGCCATCTCTGTTTTTCCATGTGACTTCCTTGGAGAAACGAAGCTTCACGACCTCGGCTCATTTTCTTTTTGTTTTTTTAATTTTTATTTAGTGATCTGGTGTTCCAGGTATTCATGCATTCATCAGTTGCTTCTTTGTACGTGCTCCCACTGGGGAGCAAACCTGCAACCTTGGTGCATATTGAAGACCCTCTAACCAATTGAGCTAGCTGGCCAGGGCTCATTGATTGACTCTTTCGTGCCCCCGGGCTGGGGATTGAACCTGCAGCCTTGGTATATTGGGACCATGCTCTGGCCAGGGCTCCTCCGCCCTTCTTCTAATCGGGTTTTTGTTGTTAATGTATCATGAGTTCTCTGCATGTTAGGATATTATTCCCGTATCAGACACATGATAAAAACTACTTTCTCCTGTTTCCTTGGTATTTTTTTGTTTAATTCCATACCTAAGAGTGTATGTTTTTATTGATTTTAGAGAGAGGGAGGGAGAGAGAAAAATACTGATGTGAGAGAGAAACATTGATCAGTTGCCTTCCGTAAGCACCCTGACTGGGTTGAACCCGCAACCTGGGTATGTGCCCTTACCAGGACTCGAACCCACCACCTTTTGGTGTACAGGGTAATGCTCCAACCCAGCTACACTGGCCAGGGCCTTTTTTTTTTTTTTTTTTTTAAATTTAGTTTTAGAGGGAGAGGAAGGAGGAGAGAGAAAGAAACTGATTTGTTGTTCCACACATCCATGCATTCATTGGTTGACTATTGCATGCGCCCTGACCATATATCAAACCCACAACTTTGGCATATTGGGACAACGCCCCAACCAACTGAGCTGCCCCGCCAGGGCCTCCTTGGTGCTTTTTCACTCTGTGATTGTTTACTTTGCTGCGTGAAAAACTTTAAGCTGATGTAGTTCCATGTGTCTGTTTTTGTTTTGTTGTCTGTCCTTTTGGTGCCACATCTAAGACGTGTTGCCCTTTCTACTGCCCCGAGCTTTCCCCCAAGCTCTCTTCTAGTTTTACGGTTCCATGTCTTACAGGCAGCTCTTTAATCTGTTTTGAGTTGGGTTTTTTTTTTTTTTTTCTCCTCACCTGAAGACATTTTTCGATATTTTGTTCAGATAGAGTGGGAGGGAGGGAGAGAGAGAGAAACATCGATATGAAAGGGACACATCGAGTGGCTGCCACCCACACGACCCAACCAGGGCCGGGGACAAATTGCAACTGAGGTACATGCCCTTAGCGGGAACCGAACCCGGGTCTCTCTGGACCACAGGCCACTCTGGAGAGGCTCTAACTACTGAGCCAAACCGACCAGGGCTTGAGTTGGGTTTTGTATGTGATGTAAGATAAGGGTTCATCTTCATTCTCTTGCATGTGGGTGTCCAGATTGCCAGCACCTTTCTCAGTTTCCCAGCGTCTTGGGAGCTCGCTGCTGTGTTGGGGATTGTTTCTGGACTCTCTCTGTTCGTCCTGATCTGCCTGCACCAGTACCACACTGTTGTTTGGTCTTGTCTTTTAAAGCCTTTTTCCTGGTAATGGTAGTTTATTATTTTCGTTATTACTCTTTTGCCTACTTTAAGTAATTTAGTTTATGAACTTTTAATTTTCTGCTTAATACTTAGTTCATTGTTTCTCCCTTGACAAAGCACTTAAGTCTATGAAATTACCTAAAAGGTTGTTCTCTAGTTTCCCAATAGTTTGGTTGGAGACGAGGGGCCTGTTTATCTTTTTCTGGCCGATACTTAGGTCAAAGGGCACGTCCTGTGAGAGTTGTGTTCTCTGGATGTATTGAGAACTTGGTTCTCTAACACATGGTCAGTTTTCAGAACTGCCTCTCCTCTCTCCATTTTTTAAAATCTTCACTCAAGGATATTTTTTTCTTTTCTTTTTTTTTTTCAGCCTTGTCGTTAAAAGGCCACCAAAAATTTGGTTGCCTCCAAAAAAAAAATGGGAGAGAGAGAGATTTTCCATTGGTTTTTAGAGAGAGTGAAAGGGAGGAAGGGAACTGGACAGAGAGAGACAAATCAATTGGTTGCTTCCCATACGCACCCCAACTGGGGCTGGGGATTGAATCTGCAGCCCAGGTATGTGCGTTGACTGGGACTTGAACCCTCAACCCCTTCAGTGCTTTGGCCGGTGCAATAACCACTGAGCCACACTGGCCCGGGCTCTCTCTATATGTATATATTTACTTTTCAGAGAGAGAAAGGAAGGAGAGATCTCTGGCTGTGCTTCGTTCTTGCTGAATTTCCGTGTGTCTGCCTCAGCTTCCTTGAGGTGCTTATTTTCTCTGCGTCCTGAAATGTCCGCCCCGGCCCCTTCACCGCTCCTGCGCCACGCAGCCAGGGCAGCAGTCACGTCACTGCCGCCCACCGTCCTGTGTGGCCTTGCTCGTGAGGCTCAGCGCAGCCTTCTGCTCTTGCGTTTTTGCATCATTTTGAGTGTCTCTCGTAGACACGTCCCTGAATGTGCCTTTCCCTCCTTGCTGACGAGTCTCACTCAGGGCCTGTGCCCTGTGCTGGTGGTTCGCTGCTTCTTTCCTCCGCCCTCTCTTTTCCTTCCCCGTTGGACGTCCTGTCCTCCCGGCACCCCTCTCCTGGTGGGATGTCTGGAAATTTTTACCAGTATTTTTAAACTTATGTCAAGTCCCTTCCCAACCAGGATGAGATCTTTAGTGCACTTTTAAACCCCGGTTCTGATGGTTTGTTTTCTCTTTAATAGCTAGAAATCTTAACAGTTGTATTTTTAAAAATATATCTTGGTTTTCTCCCTAAAATATTTTTAGTAACCAAATTACACACACACACACAAAACAAAACAAAAAAACACAACCCCAAATGAATCCCAAACAAAACACCCAAGGGCTGCGGCTCCAGATGGCCTGGGCTCAAACCTGAACGGCCCTGTGGTGGCTGCGTGGCCACTTGGCCTTGGGCCCGTGAACTCTGTGCTGTTGGCTCACCTGGAAAAGGATAAGAGGTGGCAGCTGCCTGTGGCAGCTGGATGACTGGATCCGGGGCTGTCCCAGCCGGATCCAGAGGCAGTGCTCGCCGGGCAGTGTGGGAGTGTCACTCTGGGCCACGTAGTCCCTTGGGGACCCATGCTGCTTCCGGGGCTGGTGCCAATCTCTGGCCTCAGAAACCTTCAGGTTGCGGTGCTTGTAGGATCTCAGGGCTTCCAGGGCCAGAGCTTAGTCACATAGCCCCTGTGAGTGTAGGGGAGGCACAGAGAGTTGGTCGGGCCAGGGCCCGGAAGGAAGGTGCCTCTGCTGTGACCAGCTGGGGTCTGTCTCACCTTTTCCTGCTGCTGTTGGGGGATGTAATGCACTTACTCATCCCCTCCCGGGCCTCCCAGGTGCCCTCACCCCTTCCTCTTCTCCAGCAGCCCCTCTTGAGCAGGCTTTCCTGGACAGTCCTGTCCACGTTTCCCCGTGTGCTGGTCCAGACTCTGCACGGCCTTCAGTGCAGCTGTGGCCATTGTAGTCATTGACCGAGTCCTTTGAGTGACAGGGTAGTGCTGCCCGATCTGGAGACCCCAGAAAGCCTCCTCCCCAGCCTAAGGCTGGCCTGAGGGTGTGTGTATATCGTGTGCACTGGTCTCTCCTGAGACAGAAGGGTGGGAGGTGGAAACCGACATTCCACAAGAATACATGTTGGCCAGTAAATATGTAAAAAGTGGCTTGATCTCGCTCCAGCGGCGAAGTGCCTTCGGAAGCAGCAGCTGCCCGGCCATGGCGGAGGTGTGCAGAAAGGGCCCCACCTGTGGGTCAGGGGGGCTGCGTGGCCCGGCTAGGGAATTCTAGGGAGCCAGCCTGTGCAGTGGAAGCCGGGGGGGGGGGGCATGGTGGCGAGGCTGCTGGTCTAGGGCACACGCTGAGTCAGGTGTCTGCCACAGACCCATGCCTGTATATCCCACGCTTTGCCCACCTGCTGGAGTTTGGCGAGAAGAACCACGAAGTGTCCATGACAGCCCTGAGGCTCCTGCAGAGGATGAAGAGGGACTGGATGCACACAGGCCGGCGCCCCTCGGGCCTCTGCGGGGCAGGTACAGGGTGTTGGAGTCAGGCTGGCCAGGCCTGCAGTCCGCTGGGTGCTGGTTTCCATCCGGACCCTGCAGCAGGGTGGGTGCTGGGTGGGCTCCAGAGCTGCCTCCGGGCTCCGTGCCCTCGAGGACTTCCACCTGCTCTCAGTTCACTTCCATGGGCCTGGGGCAGGGGCAGGGGCAGGACCGCTGGGCTCTGTGGTCTAGACCTAGGGCTTGACTGCTGGGGTGCCTGACCTTTCAGGCTGGCTCCCTGGGCCCCAGGGGCAGCTGCCCGAAGACAGCATTGGGTCTGTTGAAGCTCCTGGACCTAGAGCCCTCCCAGGGCCCCACAAGCTGGCAGGGTTCTCGCTCTTCCTCTTGGCCCCACGCCCAGCACCCACAGGTCCACTCCTTTCTGGGATGCCCAGGGCCCTGGCCCCGTAGGCTCAGCACTGCCCGAAGTTCACTTTCCATTGCAAAGCCTGGTGTCCGAGTTTGCAGTTCAGAATCAGTCCACTAGCCGGGTCACCACGCCCAGCACACGGGCCCCCCCGATTTTTCCCAGTCCCTCAGCGTCCTCAGTTCCATTGCCAACCAGCGTTTCCCACACAGGCCAGCTCCGTTAATGGGTTCTGTTGTGGGGTCGGGTGAAGTTCTCCGAGAGTGAGCTCTGATACTGTGTAACCATGAGGGTGAGCAGCAGCGCGTCGCACACCGCACACCGTCAGTCTCGGCTGTTCCGGGCAGAGCCGTGCCTGGGTGTTCCCATGCTCACACGGACCGTGTACCACCACCCTCAGGCAGAGAACACCCGAGCGCAGGGCCAGCCCAAGGGCTGGGACACAGCGCACCTGTTGTGCTGCTCAGCCTCGTTCTCCTCTTTCCAGCACTTCTGGTCGCAGCCAGGATGCATGATTTCCGGAGAACCGTCAAGGAGGTCATCCGCGTGGTCAAGGTGTGCGAGTCCACGCTGAGGAAGAGGTGGGTGGCTTTTGCTTACGGCCTAGGGGCAGGGCCGCTTCCTCTCTCAGGCTCACCAGGCCGGGTGGCAGAGGGGCCCCCCTCTCCCCTGCAGAGGTCTGTCCTTCTGGGGCCACACCAGCCACGTCTGCAGTGGTGACCCCTTTTCTCAGACCTTGTTTCTCTCTAATGTAAGTTCAGGTGGATAGTGGTTTGTAGAACTGCCCAGACTCAAAAGGGTCAGGAAGCAGGCACAAAGGGTGGTGGCATCATTTATGTCCTCAGTGTGGCCCAAGTGACTGTCACCTGGAGGAAGCTGAGCTCAAACTTCAGCTTCTATGTCCGTGTAACTGGGCAGCCCACGAGGTGCTGCTTCGGGGTGCAGAGGTCACGGCCCCAGCTCAGCTGCACGGGGACCTACAGCCCTGCTGCCTTCACTGCAGGTCGTTTTCAAAGGCAGGGACACTGCTTACTTGACTCGCAGTCTTTTTAAATTCTCTTAAACACTTTTTTAAAATTTTCACTCGAGGATATTTCTTCATATCTTCAGATCGAGTGAGAGAGAGAGAACAACATTGACGTGAGAGCGACAGATTGACTGGTTGCCTCCTGCACAGCCCCAACCAGGGCCGGGGACAAACCCCAATCGAGGTGCATGCCCTTGACAGGAATCGACCCCGCGACTCACTGGTCCACGGGCCAACGCTCTACCGCTGAGCCAAACCGGCCAGGGCTTAAATCCTCTTAAACATGTTGAAGGTTGTATGGCCTGTGGGAAATTGACCAGGTTGCTGAAAACTAACCTTCAGTTGGGCACGCAGCCATGGCTTGGGCGCTCCTCCTGGTGCCTCTCTGAGTCCACCTGTGGAGCCAGGAGGGTGTGTGCAGTTGGCAGGGTCGGGTTTGAGCAGTTGGCAGGGCTGCGCAGGGATGGACAGACAGCTGGGAAGCCACTGGGCCAGGGAACCAGGACCATCGGGGCTGCTTCATAAGCTGCATGCCAGTCAAAGGTAAGTGGCTTTTTAGGGGCATCGGGTTCCCTTTCATGTCTGTCTTAGGCTCACAGAATTTGAAGACACTCCTACCAGTCAGCTGACTGTGGATGAGTTCATGAAGATTGACTTGGAGGAGGAGTGTGACCCCCCGTCGTACACGGCTGGCCAGCGGAAGCTGCGGATGAAGCAGGTGAGCCCAGCTGCACGCCGGCCTCCTGCACTCGCAGTCCGCACCCCAGGCCCTGGCTGTGTGCCTCGACCTGACCGTGCACATGTGTGCAGCAGAGCAGTGTTCTGCATGCACGCACGAGTGTGGGAAAGGTGGGGGTCTAGCTGGGCGCCTAGGGAAGTGCTGCCTCTCCCCAGGGCCCGGCCACTAAGTTTATCTGGGCAGCTGCACACGTTTCCTTGTCGGGACCCCAGGCCACAGCCCAGTCTCCCACCCCCCGGCATCTGCAGGGCTGCTCTGCACCCTGGTCAGCACCATGCACGCGTCCCGGCGGGGCTGGCATCGGGCCCCGCAGCCTCTGGTTGACACTCAGGCCACTCCTGTCCTCAGTGTTCTCGTCTTCGTTTTCAGCTTGAACAAGTCCTGTCGAGAAAGCTGGAGGAAGTTGAAGGTAAACGGCCGTCCTGCCACACAGACACCTGGGGGTCCTTAGGAAGGGGTCTGTGCTCACTCCTGCTCTCAATGGGCCATTTCAGGTGAGATATCCGGCTACCAGGATGCGATCGAGACTGAGCTCGAAAACAGCCGGCCGAAGGCCAAGGGCGCCCTGGCCTGCCTGGCGAGAGATGGTGAGTCTGCCCTGCTCTGAGCCCCGCCACTCCGGTCACCCCTTCCATGGCCACACATCCTTCTTCACCCCAGGCCGCTGGTCACTGCTGGCCCCCACACCCTGCGCTGAGTGTCCAGTTTCTCCTAGGGCCCCCCAGTACCCAAGTCCCCCATCTTCTGTCCCAGCTGCCCTGGCTGGAAGTCGTCCCCTCAGGTTCTCGTTCTTGGGCACGGGCCAGCTCTGCTGACTACCCGTGGGCAGGAGCTCAGCCCTGGATACACAGCCACAGGCCACGTCGATCCCCTTTTCATGGTTGCCCCTCGGTGCCCATCCGTCCCATCCCAGCACCCTCATTGCAGTGGGGGCCCTGCAGAGCTGCTATGAGCGTTCTTGGACAGCTCGAGGTGCACATGTGGTTTCCATGTGTCCTGGTCACCGGGTAGTAGTGCCGCCCCTTGCTGTTGTCCTGTCCAGGGCTCTGGGGCACTGCCTGGGGCTGGGGTGTGCACTCTGCCGACACCATCATCTCCCTGGCTCCTCGGGAGCAGTGAGGAGATGTTTGTGTTGCTCGGGATACTCAGTCTGGGCGGAGGGCACCCGGCTGCTCCCCAGTTCTCGCAGCTCCTCCGGTGTGTTTCCTCTTGTGGCCCCGAGTCCCGGCCCTCGCTCTGCTCCTTGGGGCCTGGAGGAAGGTGCCCCTCCCCTGGGCCCCGGGTCTGAGTCAGGCCGCCTCTCTGTCGTGGGGGAGTGGTGCCTCCCCTCCGTCCCTGCAGCTGCTGCTGTTTTTGCCAACACTGAACCCCGTGCACCGAGTGCCCGACATCAGGGTGCTGCCGCTGCACCAGCGTTCAGCTCGTCGCTGGGTTTTCAAGTGCAGACAGTGCTGACTTACAGCGGCTCAGCTTGCGTTTTCCAACTAACATCGTGTACAACTGTCCTGCTTGTAGTAGGCTCTGTCTTCGCTTTGTTTAACCCTCACCCGAGAATACTTTTCCATTTATCTTCAGATAGAGCAGGAGGGAGTGAGGGAGGGAGAGAGAAACATTGACGTGAGAGGGACACATCACCTGGCTGCCTTCACACAACCCCAACCAGGGCCGGGGACGAACCATAACCGAGGGACGTGCCCTTGATCAGAATCGAACCCGGGACTCATTGGTTCGCGGACCGAAGCTCAACTGCTGAGCCACACTGGCCAGGGCCGTCTTCACGTTCTGAACGTTGATCTTTCCGTGGCTCCTGTACCCCATGTGGTCACCAAGGTGGCAGCCCACCGTCCCCAGGGCGCCACGTGTGTGTTTGCACCCTCCTCTCCGTGTCTATGAAACACCCCCGTGTCTCCTGCTTGTGCCGAGCGGGTGAGGGCAGTGGCCCCTGAGGTGGAGCGCGAGGTGCGGCCCTCTGGGCCCACAGACACGTTCTGCGCGCGGTTCAGTGGGCTTGGCTGACCTGCCACTGTCCGGGGTTTGGTGGATCCAGGGGGCTTAGGGCCTTTCAACCTGCGACGCTTCGTTGGGACGCAGCCCTGCCCTGGGTCGGGGTCTCTGTGAGTGACTTGTCTTCTGCGATGCTCCCCTGCTCCTGCCCTGTGCAGGCCCTCATTTCTGTCTGCCCTGTCCAGTGCCTGCCCTTCAGCACCAGGCGAGGCCAACTGGTGGCAGTGGGCACGTCACCCAGCTTCCCTGCAAGGCCTGGTGCCGCCCAGGACATGCGCAGGCTTGGGGCCAAGATGCACGTTAAACCAGGTTGTGTCTCGGGCCCTTTTGATTTTATTGTTCCTTGGTTATTTCCTTTTTGTTCTTTATTACTTTACATAGTTTGTTTTCTGGGTTTTTCCTGGTAAGTCGTTGAGTCCCCATCACCGCGGCTTTGTGCTGGTTTGTTACTGCCGCTCTCACTCGCCAGTCAGTGTTTTTGCGCTGGCGCCGGGCGCTGCCTGCCTGGCATTTGGGCCGAGCACACAAGCAGGATGGCACTGATGTGATGTCCAGCTCTGTCTGCCGCTCTCAGCGCAGGACACGTTTCTCTGGTGTTCAGAGCCGAGGGAGGGAGGGGATGTGAGGGTGCCTTTCGTTTCTGCTTTGGTCGTGATTCCCACATTCACTGTGTGGCGGCCGCGGTGGTGCTGGCATGTCCCTCCTTTTTGCATCTCCGGAGATGCCCTGGGGCTGGGAGGAGCCCCCTGGCCTGCTCTGGCCTGGGCTCCCAATCCATGGGGTCGTCTGCTGCTGACCTCTCAGATTTCTGATCCTCGCTCACTGTCCTGTGGCCCGTGTGTGTCTGTGACTCCCGTGCGGCACCCTCCTTGGTCTGAGCGCACGCCCATTTTTTTTCTGATTGTGAGTGTTGAGAGTTGTTCCTGCCCTGTAAACACAAGTCCCGTGTCAGACGTGTGGTTCGCAGTCAGTGCGTGCGCTGTCTGAATTTGAGGAAACGCGTTTATTGGTGTCTTGTGAGCAGCTGTGTCCCCGGAGGCAGGGTGCTCCTCAGTGTTCTGAGCTGCCTGTCCTCGAGCTGCTGCGTTCAGTCTGGGACCGTCCTGCGGAAACTCCACATCGGGTGTGTGGGCGGCAGGCGCCCTCTGCGATGAGGACCTGGTGGCTCTCTTGTCCTCAGCAGCTTCAGTGGTAGAAGGGGTGCCTTCCGCAGCCGGTGGGGGGTGTTCCTCCGCAAGAAGGGCTCCCCTGGCTTTCCGCAGGCTGAGAGGGTGTGGGACTGTGCCCCCAGGCTCCATCGAGGACAGCACGGCTAGCTTGTTCGGTGAGGAGGACGCGGAGGACGAGGAGCTGGAGGCCGCTGCCAGCCACCTGAACAAGGACTTCTACCAGGAGCTGCTCGGCAGCGGTGCTCCCGACAGCTCGGAGGCTTCGGGCGGCCCCGACGGGAGCAGCAGGCCCCCGGCGCTGGAGTCCCTGCTCGGGCCCCTGCCCACGGCGGCCAGCCTGGGCATCTCAGACTCCATCCGAGAGTGCATCTCCTCGCAGAACCAGGAGCCCAGTGAGTGCCAGGGCCGGGGCGGGTAGGGTGGGGCCAGAAGAGCTTCCGGGTTTAGGTCAAGTTTGGGTCGTCCCCCTTGGTCTGTGGGAGGTGGAGGTGGAGCAGCCTTGGAAGGTGCGCTGCCTGGGAGGACACGCGGCCAGGCCCGCTGTGCCAGGGCTGTGGCAGCCCGTGACTGGTGTGTGCTGGCACCGCAAATGCCAACAGGCTGTCACTGTCTCTGCGGCCTTACCTGCTGGCTCAGGTCCCGGCTAGGGCCCTCTGGTTGGGTCGTGAGCACAGGCTCCTCCCTGCTGCCAGGCGTCCCACGAATCTTAGCTGCAGTCATGGCCCATGTCCCCGAGGGCCCACAGGAACAGACTGGCACCGTGCCACCCTCCTGCAGTTGTCTTACCTGGTGGGGGCGTGTTGGCTGAGGGTATGATCTCCATGGTCAGACAGACTCGCTTGCTGAGCTCCAGCACCAGCAGGGACAGTCGTTCCCACCCGCTGGGAAGGCCTGGGATGCCCGCGCTCCAAGAGGAAGGGACTTTGGTTCTGTCAAGTCACTTCCGACACGGGTCCTGCTCCTCTGCTGGGACCCAGGCCCCACACTGTAGAGTGAGAGCCCTGCCTCCTCCAGGTGCTGAGGGTTTGACCCCTGAGGGGCACTGCTCAGAGAAGCTGTTCAGCTGCCCAGATGTTAGCCACGTGCCACGGCAGGCATGGCGGTGGCGGCCTGCCCTGATGGCGGTGGCCCAGTGAGGAGGGGACAGTAACAGACAGCCCATTAGTCAGGTCTGGGGGTCGCACCATGAAGGGCTGTGTGTGCGGAGCCCAGGGCAGGTCCCACGAAGTGCGGCAGAGGGCACCTGCAGAGGCTGGGGGCAGAAAGACGCCATTCGTGGCCGGAGCTGAGAAAGCAGGAGGCGTGGGTGCATCAGCGTGCCAAGGGGACCCTCACAGCTGGGGCAAGAAGGGGTGGCTGATAGGTTTGGGGGACATCCTGAGAAAGGTCAGAGGACTCCCTAAGGCCCCCTCTCCTGGGTTGTTGAGCAGAGAACTGGCCAACTGCCCTCTCGCAGTCTGGAAGCCGCCCTGGACAGGAAACAGGACTGGTGGGTGTGCTCTGTAGCCCGTGCAGCATCCTGCTCCTCTGCCACGCGGGATCTCCTGCTCGCCCCCACACCCGCGAGAGTACTGCCAGCTCCACTGGTGGCGAGGAGGACAGTCCTGAGAGCCCGTGGTGCTGAGCTTGTTGACCAGAGCTTGCTTCCCTCTAGAAGATGCTTCTGGGGATGGTGAGCTGGACCTCAGCGGCATTGACGACCTGGAGATCGACAGGGTGAGTGTGGGCCTGTGCCCTGTGGGTGTGGCTGTGATGCAGATATCAGTCCCGCTGGGGTCGTGTGGGGCCTCTCCAGTCACAGGGACCCCTGACCCAGAGAGCCAGCCCTGCTGCAGACCCCCAGGCCCAGGGCCGCGCATGTGCAGCAGGCAGGGTCTGTTCCTGCTCTCGGCATAACTCCCAAGGTGGCCTCTCCAGCCCTCAGCTAAGTGCCTCTCAGGACCTGTGTCCATGCCCTGTGGCAGCCGAGCTGCTGTGCCCGTGGGGGCCTGCGAGCTGCCCAAAGGGCGGGGGGTGCCGTGGGAGGAAAGTGTCCCTGACGGGCTTCCGAGGACCAGCCGGCAGCGTGGCTGCACACGCACCCTCTGCTGGAGGCCCCCGCCGACCAGTTCCGCGGGTGGGAGGCATGTTTGTGGCTGCTAGTGAGCGTGCTCTCTGAGTGTGACGTGTGCTCTGCCCAGTACATCCTGAACGAGGCGGAGGCCCGTGTGAAGGCCGAGCTGTGGATGCGGGAGAATGCCGAGTACCTGCGGGAGCAGAGGGGTAAGTGCTGCTCCCCTGCCAGGTGCCCCGGGGTGTGAGACCCTCGCTGACCCGGCTGCTTGTTGACCTTTCAGAGAAGGAAGCCCGAATCGCCAAGGAGAAGGAACTAGGGATCTACAAGGAGCAGAAGGTACGGCCGTCGGCTGCTGCACCGCAGCCCATCTGTCCCTTGTGATGTGGGGCTGGCGCAGGTGGAGGAGCTGTGTGCTCCGAGGGGTGCAGCCTTCAGCTTCGCGGGAAGCCCCAGGCAGGCTGTTGGGACTCGGGACCTATGCCGAGGGCCCTGTCCCACCCCTGTGACCTGGCTAGGCCTGCTATCTCGCCATCCATCCTGTTGGTCGCAGTGACATGGCTTAGCTGCTCGCCTGTGGTTGGTTGGGGATGTCTGGCCAGGGAGCTGCCTTGGGGAGTGCTCATGCCTGTAACTGAGCCAAAGAAGAGACAGGAGCTTAGTGCAAGACAGCCAAAAGGCTGTGCTCAAAGCCATTCTGGACCGAGAACAAGGGAGACCGGGAGCTCGGGTTAGGGCTTGGGGCCTGGCAGCATGGTCTGTCATTTTCCCACGATGCTGCGCAGGAAGGCTGGTGGGCTAGGGAGGTGGCAGGGTGGGCTCCTGCAGGTGGTCAGCAGCTCGGCACCCAGGACAGGGCCCAGGGACCACACCTCCCTGCTGGGTGACAGAGCCAGAACCCAGGGCGCACCCTGCTCTGACCTGTTTGCTTGGCCCTGGGCCCAGCGTGGTAGGGCCGAGTGGCAGGCTGGGGACAGTTTGCCGCACTAGCAGGTTCCCAGCTGATGGCAGGGCTGCCTGTGCCCTGCCCAGAGGGGAGGGGGCAGGTTCCCAGCTGATGGCAGGGCTGCCTGTGCCCTGCCCAGAGGGGAGGGGGCAGGTTCCCGGCTGATGGCGGGGCTGCCTGTGCCCTGCCCAGTGGGGAGGGGGCAGGTTCCCGGCTGATGGCGGGGCTGCCTGTGCCCTGTCCAGAGGGGAGGGGGCAGGTTCTCGGCTGATGGCGGGGCTGCCTGTGCCCTGCCCAGTGGGGAGGGGGCAGGTTCCCGGCTGATGGCGGGGCTGCCTGTGCCCTGCCCAGAGGGGAGGGGGCAGGTTCCCGGCTGATGGCGGGGCTGCCTGTGCCCTGCCCAGTGGGGAGGGGGCAGTTGGGCAGGACAGGCCCAGGCTGCTTCCTGTCAGGAGAGGAGGAGGTGGACACAACCTTCGGATTGTTGAGCCGCCTCTTTCCCTGAGCCCTGCAGCACCCGGCAGATTCAGGGGTGCTGACCTCAAGTCACAGGAGGCGTAACCTCTGTTTCCCTCAAGCCCAAGAAGTCCTGCAAACGCAAGGAGCCGATCCAGGCCAGCACAGCCGGGGAGGCCATCGAGAAGATGCTCGAGCAGAAGAGGATCTCCAGCAAGATCAACTACAGCGTGCTCAAGGGCCTGGACAGCGCGGGGGCGGGCAGCACGCCGCGGCAGGACATGCCGCCCGAGGACAGGGCCGGCGCCAGGAAGCTGCCACGGAGGAAGAAGCCCACCAGCAGGGGTGGGGCCGACCCCGTGACCATCGTGGGGAAAAGGTACTGTGCCGAGAGGGCTGGGCTAGGGACCACGTCAGTGCCAGTGTGGCATCCGCTGCCCTGGCCGACTCCAATCCGCCTGCAGGGCTGAGGCTCACGTGGCGCAGCACGGTCATCTGAGCGCATCCAGCTCCCAGCAGAGTGTGTGGCCCAAGCTTCCCTCACTGTGCCCAGAGGGAAGGGGCCAAGGGCTACTGTATAGGCTCTGCCCCACCCCCCAGCCCTGGGGTGTGGATTCCTGGGCGTGGAAGGGAACTGGTCTCCTCTCAGGCGGGTCCACGGCCCCCTGGCAGGTCAGCAACTGAGGGGCTGCGCTGGGTCTCCCTCGGGCCCTCACAGGTGACAGTGGGGAGGGAACCCTGGCTTTGTGCTTGCAGGGACTGGGGGAGGGAGAGCAGACCCCGGGGAAAGGGGTGCTATTAGCAAAAGTTGGGGTACCTTCTGCTGTGGGCCTGGGGGGTGTGGGTGGAGGTGGCTACCAAAGCTGTCTGGCTTGGAGGAGTGGGCAGAGGGGCCCTAGAGTGCTTCTCCCCACGGCCCCGTCCTCCCCTCTCCCTCTCGTGCTTTCTTCCAGGTGGAGGCCAACGGTGTCCACACAGCCGGCTAAGAAGGCGACCACGGGACAGGTACGTGGTTGTGGGCATAGCCAGGGGCAGAGACCTCGAGAAGCAGCAGAGCCCAGATAGGACGCCTGAGTGAGGAGCTGGGAGGATAGGCCTGGCAGACGGGGCACCAGCCCCACTGCTCTGCGTGGGCACAGGGGTCGAGGCCTAGGGTGCCAGGGAGAGTGTCCTGGCAGGGGGCCTGGGGGCCCGAAAGCCTGAGCCCTCCAGACAGGGCCTGGGGAGTGCAACCCTGCCCTGCCAGCCTGGAAGCGGTGACCCTGGGGCCACCCAGGGTGCCTCTGGGAAGCAAGGCCAAGTTCCGGGCCCCCGCCCAGGTGGGCCAGCAATGCCTTCTCAGGTGGCAGCCTTGTCTGGGGACTGGGGCCCCCTGGACCAGGGCTCGGGGGTCTTCACCCCTTGTTCTCAGGGCTCTGGTCCAGCCCCGGATACAGAATGGAGAAGTAGGAGGGGAGGGTCCCCAGGTGTCCCAGAGCAGGTGCAGGTTCAGGAGTGGGGGTGCAGGTTCAGGAGTGGGGGTGCAGGTTTAGGAGTGGGGGTGCAGGTTCAGGAGTTGGGGTGCAGGTTCAGGAGTGGGGGTGCAGGCCAGGGAGCCTTGTGTAGCACCTTGTCTCAGAGCCTATCCCCTTCCCTCGCAGACCCTGCTCCCGAGCCCCCCCGCCCTGGGGTCTGAGCCTGTAAAACCCTCAGCGGTGGTGGTGGAGAGCGGACCTGTGTCGTACCACCCCGAGGAGGAGGCCGATGAGGAGGACCCTGACGAGGAGGATGGGGAGCCCTGCGTCAGTGCCCTGCAGATGATGGGTGGCGACGGTGAGGGCACCACGTGGCTGCTGGAGCTGACGTGGGTGGGGGCTTCCAGAGCAAAGGGCATTGGCCACCTGCCTGATGACCTAAGCTGAGGCCTGTCGGCTTCAAAGTCAACCTCTGGTTCACCCTGTGCGGAAACCTGAGTGGAGACACTGGATGGGCTCTGGATGTCGAGGCCCTGCCTGCGGGGAGACTGGGGCGCTGGGTTGCCCGGGGTGGCCCGGCCCACAGAATTAGAGTTGCCACCCACTGCACCACACATGGGTGCTTGACCCGAGCCAGGCCCCACTGCCCACGTGCCAGGCCATCGGCCCCCAGGACCTGTAGAGACCAGAGTGGCCCTTTTTATCGGTGGTGACGGGGCCTGTGCCGGAGCCTCCGTGGGCCAGGGCACCTGGGTGCCTTGACTGCACGGTGCTCCTCAGCGTCCGTGACTGTCCTTGTGCTTTGCAGATTACGGCTGCGACGGCGACGACGACGATGGCTACTGAGGTGTGATCTCGCAGCGGCAGCACCCCACGGTGGACCCGCTAGTGTCTGATGGACCGGACCGGGTCTGGGGCGCAGGCCCACAGGTGTGAGCGCGGAGACTCGCAACAAGAGGCGCTGCCCTGCCTGCTCCGCAGCCTGTCTCACGGCCACGTGTGGCATCCGTGGCATTTGCTGCTGGCACCATGTCTTGAGCAATGTAAGGCGTGTTTCTGTCCAGCTCAGGGAACTGGACCGATGCCTGCGTGTGAGAGGTCAGACGTGGGTCTCATGGCCCAAGAACCTCTGCAGGCGTGACTGTCATGTCTCCTGTAAGGAAACAGGCTCAGGAGGCCCAGCTGCCTGTCCAAGTGAGTGGAGGGCTGGGTGGGCTCTGGGGCTGTGCTGTCCGCCCTGCGTGGAGCCGGGTGCCCTGTGCCCTCTCGTCCTTGTGTCACCGAGCACTGTGGCCAGCCCTCCCGTGCTGGTCCTGAGCTGGTCCTGTGCTGCCAACTGCAGTCCTCAGCCAGATCCCGGTCTCCCTCCCGCTGCCTGGCCCTGGGCCCACGCGGAGCTGAACCCACGAGCCCACAGGGCCTGCCCAGGAGAGTGGTGGGCACTGCTGTCTGAGCTGGGACCTGGTTCAGCACCCTCGAGAAGGAATGAGGGCAAGGTCCCCAAGCCTGGCCGCCCTGGTCTAGAGAGTTTCCACCACCCTGAACTGCCCCGGGGGCCGGGCTTCAGCGTGGGAAGGCCCGAGACTATTGTCAGGGTCTCAGCTCTGGCTTCGCTGCTCTGAGTGTGCCCTCGACCAGGCTGCCCCCGAGGAGAGGATGAGTTTGGCGGTAGACCACCCACACTGCCTTCCGCGGCCAGCACTCGTCTCCTGGGCTGGACTGTGCTGGGCCCTCCCGGAGTGCAGCAGAGTTGTAGGTCAGGACTTGGAGCCCATGTGTCTGTGCCCCTCTGCCGGCTGGCACCCTGGCCTTCTGGAAGGTGGGTGGAGGCTGAGTTCTGAGGAGAGGAAGATGTTACTCCAGCAGAAACCCACTGAGACCGTGGCCTGTGATTATACGTGTCCAGAGGGACATGGCCTGAGGGAGGCTGGAGGGGCCGGTGGGGCTGGGACACCCCGTACTGGAAAGGTGTTCTGGGGCAGGCAGCTGGGCCCTGAGGGTGAGGTGGGGAGCAAAATCCGCAGGGACCTGCACAAAAGGATATGGAGCCACGTGCTTTGGTGGTGGGTGACTGACCTGCAATGGGCAAAGTCCCAGGTGAGCAGCCAGCAGCTGGCAGGGTTGCAGTGGACTGGACAGTGCCCCATGTGCAGGTCCCCACTGCCCCACGTGTGGCCTGAAGGGGACAGCTTGCGTACTCTGTCCACATCTGCGTGCCGCCCTCCCAGCTCCCAGGTGACCTGTCCTCAGGCCAGGGTGTGGGGTGGGAGGAAGCGGGGTGGTCCCCAGCTCTCACATGCTGTCTGCACATCTGCCCTAAAGCCAGGCCCCTCCAGCTGCTCTTCCGAGCACCCTCCTTTGGGGGATGGCACAGACACCCCCATCTACAGCCCTGCTGGTGGGCCCCAGGAAGGCAGCAGGGCTCGGAGGGGCGGGGCCTGGAGCCTTCCTGTCCCTTGCTGAGCAGGGCCACCGCTCTAACACCCACGGTCGCTGTCAGAACACGTGCTGGAGGTCACTCACAGGCTCCCCCTTGGCTCTTGGCAGGTCTCAGGTGAGGCCAATGGCTCGGGAGTGAGTGGCCACCCCAGCTCACCTAGCTGGGCCCATGCCTGGCTGCTCCTGCTACGGCCCCCGCCCCCAGCAGCCCTCACAAGACCCACGGTGGTTTCTGGACTGGTCTCCAGGCCAGCCGCAGGGCTGATGGCCACCCGTGCTGCCGCGACCGCCTGAGGGCCTCAGAGGAGGACGGGTGCTGGCAGCTCTGAGGGCCAAGTCCACTGAAGCCTCTGCCCTCGGAGCCCAGCCCTAGTGCCTGCGAGCCTGCCTGCCTGCCGTCCTCTGTCCAGCCTTCTCGAGACCAGGCCACCGCCCCTCGCCCTGCCCCCTTGAACTGCAGGCCGAGGCACCGACCCCGCGGCTGCACCTCCTCCAGGCCCCGTTTCTCCCTAGTGCTGTCAGGTGGGCAAAGGCTGGGTCCAGGTGGGCCGGTGACAGGTCCAACCCCGGGCTGTTGCGTGGAGAGGGGCCAGCGGGCTGGGTCCGGGAGTGAGGGCTCTTGTCACTGGCCGGGGCCTGGATGTTCTGCCAGGGTCAGGACCAGCTGGGCCTGCTGCCCACTCTGCCATTGAGGGGCTTGGATGCTGGGAGGGGTGTGGAGTGCTCCCTGACCCCACCCCAGAGGATGGGGGTGGGAGGGTAGGGGCCACTCTGCAGGCTGCTGCAGCAGACGGGGCCCCAGGGTCACAGCGGGTCAAACCCAGGAACTCACGCTGGCTGTTCGTGGACCCCCAGTGGAACGGGGTACCCAGGGATCTGCTCCTGCAGGTCCCACACGGCAGCCACGAGGGAGAAACTGAGTCTTCTGCCCACCCCACGGCCACCTGCCTGCCCCCTGGTGGCCACCTCAGCACAGCCTGGAGCTGGGCAGACATTGATCCTCTGCCCTGGCTGGTCTCCATTCTCCCAGCTGGGGCCCCTGCACCCAAGAACACCCCGTTCCCTGAATAATAAAAACCATGACCCGCAAACCATGGGCATGTGGGAGTCGTTCGGCTGGGTCTGGAGTCTGTTCTTACCACGTCAGGGTCTCGGATCCCTCGCTCAGCCCTGCCCACAGGACCACCCCATGGGCTCGCCAGCACACCTTCCGCATCCTCAGAGCACCGTCGCATGCCCTTCCTGAGTCTCAAGATCCCTTTCCTGGCAAGGCAGTGAAGACCGGGTGTCGGGAGACCTTAGTCCCCGCTGCAGGACTGGTCCAGTTACTGTTGCAGCACCCATGGCCAGCAGGGGGCACCCTGGGACCAGCTGGGCTTGGATGGGGCCCTGAGCTCCCCGGCAGCCCCTCTGCGGTCCCTGCCCGACCAGGACTGCTGGCTCATCTTGCATATGCACCCTGGCCCCATGGGGGCACCAAGTGGGTCCAGTTGGTTCCTGTGGGGAGGGCCCAAGCCAGGGCGCTCAAGCATGGTGCTGTTCAGCTGTGGTGCTGCATGTTGGGCTGTGCCTGTGTGGCCGCCAGCTTCCATGACTGGTCAGTGCCTGTCTGTGGGCCTCTGCCTACGTGCCTGGAGGGTTGGCGGGTCCCTGGGGAGGCCTGGGTCCCTGCCAGGCTGGCAAGGGTGGGGCTGAGGGATGGGCTCCAAGGCTTTGGGCCTTGGGCTCTGACTGCTCAGGCCCTTCAGAGGGCGCAGTGCAGGCTCCTTACGGCTTTCCTGCCAGAGAGGGCCCTGGCTCAGGAAGCCATTGTCCCCACACAATGGGCCTTTAGGGGCCTGGGAGGGCAGGGGCCCCAGACTGGTGGGATCCGGCCCTGAGCTGGCCCTCATCACAGCCTTGACCCTAATCCGCCACTGCCACTGTCCACTGCGCCCTCTCACGGCCACCCCAGCTGATGGCCGACCAGCTGATGCAGCTCCAGTCTGAGTGCAGGGTACCAGGGAGGGGAACCCTAAAGCCCGGACAGGCCCGTGGGCGTGGAGGGTCAGTGTCCGTGATGGGGAGCGAACTGCTGAGGCCGGGGTGGCTGTGCCTGTGGCCGCAGGCAGTGCCAGACAACCTGGGCTCCTTGGCCATGAGGGGCCTCTGCTCGAGTGGGGCAAAGTAAGCACTTCCCCACTCGAGGCCTCGGTGAATGAGGGCATTGTCTGCAAGGTGCCTGCTGTGGTGGGGCCTGGGAAAATGACCACCTGGCACATTGCGGGGAAGGGGTGGTGGCCACCGTGCCCCCTCCCTCCCAGGCCTCAGCAGCAGGATGGAGCTGAGCTGGCAGCTGGAGGGATGCCCCTGGGGCAGGCCATGGATCGGGCAGGGCCTGGCCCAGGGAAGTGGGCATTGGGGCCCAGAGGTTGGGGCAAGATGAGCACAGGTGACTCGGCCTCAGCCTACAGGCAGGTGTGCACACCTGCACACAGCTATGCACTCAGACACACAAGAAGCGGTCAGGGCTCCTGTCTTTTATCACCTTGCAGTCGGGGTCCCGCCGCATCAAAGCCCGTTCCTGGAACATTTCCTCCATCCCCGTTCCCCATTCACTGGCTCCTGGGGTTATTCAAGGCAGTGCGCCTGCTCTGAGGACGGTGGGGGGCGTGGCAGGGGGAGCCTTGCAGCTGGGTGGTGAGCAGAGGCGGGCTGGGAAGCCAGGCAGGGTCTGAGCAGGCTGTTAGGGGCCTAGGGAGGGGGGCTGTGTTGGCTCGGCAGCCAGTGGAAGAGTCTGGAATGCTGAGAGGCCGCATGAGGCACAAATCTGGAGCTCAGCACCCATGTGGGTGGCGTTCAAGTCCCCCTCGGTGCACACGGGCTGGCAGGCCCCCGCCTGGCCCCGAGCGGCGCTGCTTGTCACCGATTCCCAAATCCCCGTCACTGGCCTTGGCCTGGGTCTCTGAATGCTGGGGAGGGGTGTGGTGGTCACACCATCCAGGACACAGGGCCCATGCACATGGGTGCACAGTCATGCAAAGCACCCCTTCCAGTCCCTGCAGGCTCTGCAAGTGGGAGCACTCAGTCCTGGCCAGCAGGCGGCGCTGCAGGACGACCCCGAGGAGCTGGAGCCTCCTGCAAGTTGTGTGTGTGTGTGTGGGGGGGCAATCAGGGCTGTGAGGAGCCCCCCACTAGGGAGGGGGTGGCACTTCTTTGTAAATGAGCCCTCCCCACCAGGCAGCTGGTTCTTTTTCCATCCAACTACAGTTCCATCCTTACCGGGGTGTCCCCAGGCGCACTGGGTGAGGGTGCAGTGGGTGAGGGTGGAGGTGGGTTCTGCCGGTGGGCAGCAGACGGTTCCCACTGAGGATCCAATAAAGCTCAGGGTGGGAGGGGTCGGCCACACTGGGTCCCAAAGGAGGGGCTGGTCAGGCCACAGTGGAGTGCAGAAGAGGCGAGTGGACTGCCCACCTGGGCCAGGTGGCAGGGCATGTGAGGCAGGGGGAGGCGGTGAGGGCCTCAGGGTGGGAGGGGCGGGGGACAGCCGAGCCCTTGTGAAAGAAGCAAGCATGTGGCAGAGGCGGGGGGTGTTCTCAGCACTGGTTGGCCCTGGCTCCATGCTGCGGGCTGCGGGCACTTGGGATTGGGGTGGACAAATGTGGGGCGCCTCAGCCTGCTGTCAGGATGTGGAAGATGCTGGTGGGCAAAGAATGGCAGGAGCGCAGGGCTAGGGGCCCTGCCAGGGCTCCTAGGGGAGGGGGCTCAGAGCAGCCAGCCAGGTGCAGGCTGGGTGGGGGCTCAGAGCAGGTGGGTAGGTGTCAGGATGTCCCCAGGGTGAGTCACTCTGGATTTGGCGTCCTAGAGTCAAAAGCTGCTGACCTCCCACTTCCTGCGGCCTGAGAGCAGGGCTCAGTGCTGGGCCGGCGCCTGGTGGGCCTGTATCTGCCCATGCGGGCCTCAGTGCCCACAGCCTGCCTGGCTGTGCCCGAGGGGGACACAGTGGGAGACGTCAAGGTGTGCTGGGGAGTCCTCGGCGGCTGCTGGCAGAGAGCAGTGGCAGTGTTGAGACAGAGCGGAGAGGGTGATCAGGGCCAGGACAGGGTGGAGGGGAGCATGGCAAGCAGGCCAAGGTGTGCCCAGCTGAGGGTCAGGCTGTGTCCACCTGCCCAGGCCTTAGGCAAGTCATGGTTACCCAAGAGGTGGGGTGCTCACAGCTTATCATGGGAGGGTCAGGAGGGCAATTGGCAGGGGGCACATGGCTCCTTGGAAGGCATGACCCCAAGTCACTGAGCAGCAGTCTGGATAGCCTTGCTAAGTAAGGCACGTGTGGGCAGCCCTCTGCACCCCAGTACCCTGCCATGCCCATGGCCACAACCCACCAGCCCACCAGAGCCACCGCTGTCAGACACTTCACCACCACCACCACCACCCATGCTGGTCCTGTGTCACCAGGGCCATACTCCAGCACCCTCCACATGGCACCACCGTCATGTCACCCCACCCAACCCCTGGGACATTGGCAGGAAGTCGCCACATATACCCTTTCCTTGCCAAGGCTGGTCTCCAATGCCACCTTCTCTACAGCCACTGCCCCCAGGACAGGGCCGAGAGACAGCTGGTAGCAGTGATGCCACCTAGTCCTGGTGGAGGCCTTGCCTACACCTTGGGGACACCCTCCAGCCCCCCGCTGTCCACCTGCACTCCTGGACTCAGCCCTTCTGCACACACCTGGCTGCTCCCTGACAGCAGCCTGTGTCTGGGGTGCTCCCTCCTGCGGGATCTGCTCTCCTGAGAAACTCCACACACTGTCACTTCTTCCAGGTAGCCTTCCTTGCCCACCAGTTCTCCATGGCTGGGTCAGAGCCCTCTCCTGGGTCCTGCAGCCTGAGAGTGTCCCTCTGTCCTGACTTTGCCCACCTTGTGTCATCTCTGTTTTGGGGCGGGGTGGGGGGCTCCCACAGGCCCAGGGCTGGTGGAGGTAGTGCAGGAAGGGCTCTGGGCTGGACTGATGGAAACCAGAGGCTGCTGTGGGCCTGCACCCGAGCCCTCCCCAGACCCTTGCCCTGCCTGGGGCCCATCAGGACTAGAAGTGGGCCTGGGCCACCTCGCTCTGCCCAGGAAGATAGCTTGCCTCGGTTCCACCAAACCAAGGGTTTCTCCCTCTCAGCATCTCCCCCCTGCTGCCCACCCCCGCACCCCTGTGGCTTTCTAATACAGAGGTGCTGGCTCCTTCCAGAAGATGCTGAGACCCCACCCCCAACATACACCCTGCCGCTCGCCCCCGTTACAGATCTGCATCTGCCTCACAGAGCCTCCGGAGTAGGGGTGGGGATCGAGGGTGCACCTGGGCCCTGAGCCAGCGCGGAGCTGACTGCTGACCTCAGCTGCATGCTCAGGTCTGGGCGAGGACCCCCACTGCTGCCTTGCAGCTGGCTCTCGGGGCCACATTCGCCGCTGTGCCAGGGGCCTCAGGAGGAGAGTCCCCAGGAAACGGGGCCCTGAATGACCTCCCGGGACCCGCCCCTGCCCCCGCAGGCGTGAGAATCAGGCTGCCCCCGAGGCACGCTGAGCCTCCCGCGACCTTCGCAGAAAGCCGGGGACGCAGGGAACAACAGGGCGGCTCCCCGGGGCTGTCGTTCCACCCAAACGAGGTGAAAGAGGCGCAGCGAGACGCCGACGTGTCCCGGAAGCAGGACTTTTGATGCATTTTGGTGGAAATGTCAAAC